AATCTTTTTTGTGAAATTACGGAACTTTAAGTCTGGATCTGATAAGAAATTCTTAGATTCGTGGAGCGCAATACTTGCAGAGGATGTTAATATAACTAGCCACAAGCCCACCATTTTCTCTGTGGTTTGAAACATTATCAATAGACTGAAAAAAGCCTCTGTTGAGAGTGAAAGAAATTCGGCTTGATCTGATGAATAATTCAGAAGCAGCCGAATAAAGATCCCCATCGTAATTATGTTTACGCACATACCATGGTTACCTTTTGTTATCATTCATGCCTAAAATTCCACTGAACATTACTTATCCGCAGTTAGCCTTCAGTCTGCATTAAAAGGTAACTGACAGACCCAATTCTTGAGCTTGATCTTCCCTGGTGTTGCCACCTAAACATCCCAGGCGTCACAATTCCATAATATCTAACATTATTATGGCAAGTTTTTTTGTTTTTTTTTATTATTTTTAACAGAAAACAATTTTTTCATTGAAGATCTCACAGCAGGATATACCTTAATTTACAAAGTTTAACTCAAAACACAAGAACAAGTGATGGAACACCTTTTTAAAATGCTATAAATAAGGCTGTTAAAAGGTTTGAATCTTCGGATAAAATGAGAATTTCTATTATTCTGCTGTCTTGTCGCTTGTGTGTTTAATTAAGCGGCAAGACATATACCAAGTAAAGGTAAATATTTAAAACACGAGAATACAGGTGAAAAGATAAAACAGAGGAAAGCAAGGGGAAACTGGACTGAAAATAAAAGGAAACGAGGCCAGAGTGCTGCAGGGGCTAGGGGCACCCAACTACTGTTTTCTGTAAAATATCTGTTGGGAGATGCAAATGAAAATCTGATGAAAATCACCGCCACCTTCGATGTTGCAATGTTAAACGCAGTATGAAATTCGCGAAAACAACGTCCCTAGCAATAGAACCAGTCTTTCACGGTCACAACTATAAGAATGAACACAAAAAATAGCCGATTCGAAAAGTTAAACGCGCGCTGACATCCCGGTAATTGCCAGCAATCTTGCGGGCACATCTCTCAACCAGCATACAATAGGGGTGGTTGTGGGTTGTTATAAAATCATTGCACTATAAAATAACGTAAAATCATTGCACTATAATTTGGGTGCTGGCTTTCACGCCAGCATTATCAACTTATCATAATCCGCCAGCATTATCAACTTATCATAATCCCCAGATGTCAAAATGTCTTCAAGTACAATTTAAAAATAAGTGCTGCACCATGTTGCCGTTGCTCATTTTCAAGGCTCCGATACAGTGAATTCAATACCGACCCCAGAAACATACGCGGGCATGGCGCGGGATTTGCGGACATCTGCTGCTATTTTTAGCCCAGGGTGGGGCAATCTCGTACTCAGAGTCTTCTCTCACGTGTTCAGCATCTATGCAAATTTACTGGAACGAAAGAAAGCGTTTGCATGAGAAAAGAGTTCAATTCCCACAGGATTGGTTTGGAACACCAACATGGTAGCCGTTTCATTGTTTTGGAACACCAATATGGCCGCCATGACGTCATGTAAAAACGCTCTATCAGTTTTTTGGATTTCTGCGGTCGAGAGTTGATGTCCCCAGCGTTTTCTTTGGCGTTACCCCGCTGACCAAAAAGCCAGAAGGCTCTGGGTACGAGATTGAGGATAGGGCAAATGAATCACTTTTGTAGCGGGATCTTTGATTTTTAATGCACCTAGCGGAGAAGAAAAACATTCCATGAATCAAGCAACATCAAAGTCTTCTCAGTTCTCTCCCGTCACATGCAGTAAACAGGTGCACTTTATTTGCTCAATAAAAAATGTCTATTGTGAAAGGTTTGAAGCCAGGAGTCATTTCAAAAGTAGGTTGAGTTTGATCGTCTGGGTGAACGTAGTCCTTAATAGGACTGTTGTTGTTGGCAGTGACTGACGTTTCGACAAACTGTGTGGTAGTCATCTTCAGAGTCAAAGTGTGTTGTATCACGTCAGTTGATGGTATTTAATTCTGGTTATTGCCCTCATTGGTCAATAAAGTCGCGTTGTTATTGGTCTTCTGCTAGTTAAGCCGTTACGTTTACTTATTGGCTATGAAGACTAATGGTGTCATTGGTGCGTTTCGATCCGTCTACTGTCATAGTTAAACGGTCGTGTATTGTTAGTCAAATTGTCGGTTGTCCAGTCATTCCCTCGTGGTTAGTATTGCTTGAGTCCGCCAATAAGTCGTTTGTACGGTGCCGGTAACTGTTTAACTGTGACAATAGACGGATCGAAACGCACCAATGACATTGAGTGGCTTCATAGCCAATAAATCACTGCTTAACTGACAGACGACCGATAACATCGTGACTTAATCGTCCTAAAGTTGAGTTTCTGGCTGAAAGTCCAAAATGACTTCAGTTGAACGAAAGCTAATGAGTCTAGTTTCCTATGTTAAGTGTTTCTGTCGTGATTCTCGTTCTCTCATTGGCCCAGAGCTATTGGTCCATTTAACAATTATTCCAGTGGTGCCTGCTGGATATGAAGTTGCTGTAGCCTTAATTAGGCCGAAATTTCATCTCTGCGTGTTTAAAGGAATACCCAAGGCCTCTCAATGAAGACCACGCGACGCCTTGTGCGTGTAAACCTCCTTGGTACAAACCATTAAGATTAGCGCAATGGCACTTATTGTACCACCATCCTCCTTTGTACGAAACCGCACAATTTGCTCTAGAATTCACATCATTGTCTCTATCTTGCGTTGTAAACATCATGTTCCTAAAGAAATAAAGATGATTCTCATTACAAAATCAGCAACCGCGATATTATATCCATTCTGATTTATGATTCATTACACTGTAAAACTCATACAAAACTAACACAAGTTTTTAACGTTAATTTACTTTTTCGTACGGAAAGCAACTTATCGAGCTGGTCTGTATGCATGACTGTGTTGCGGTAGACCCTAGTTCGATTCTCGGCCGGACCAACACTTTGTTGGAGTCTTCAAATAATTGAGGAAAGGAGGCGAAAGAGCTATATCTTTGCTCGACTTTCAAAAATAGGTACACCCTCCAGTCTTCTCAGAAAAGGACTAATACTAAACTTGTAGGTCCTGTCACAGTATTTTCATTAAATCTAACTTTATATGGGACCCAGAAGAGGCACGATGGGTCAATAATGATTCTCTGACAGCGACCACTCATCAAACCCATTGATCTTGGTATAGATTGGATGGATAATTTGTTAGCAGAGATCTCAAATACAGTTGTAACCTCTCGATCTTTTTTCAGGTGCCGCAATAGCTCGCTATAAACAGTATAAGAAGCCAGTGGCGGAACCAGACCTTCAGATAAGGGGGGAGCAGTCATCCAGATCCTGAGATAGGGGGGGCGGTCTCAAAAAAAATTTTTTCGGCCCTTCGGGCCTCATTTTGGTCTAAAAATAAGGGGGGGCCTCCCCCCCGGCCCCTCCCCTTGATCCGCCACTGGAAGCGTTGTATGAGCTTCTATCAGTTCACCGACGTACTGAATTCCCGTTCATCGTTTAAAAGTTTTAAACGAGTTCAGTGAGTTCGACTGAACTCTCTCTCCTAGGGTTGAATTTCTAAAAACAAAATCCAAGTTTAAAAGGAAAAGAGAAATTTGAAGTCGTTTGCTGCGTTACTCTACGACTGCAAAGAAATGTTCCATAAAGCGTGCTACAGGTGCAAAGTTGCTAGCTGGTTCCATAAGTGACATATATAACGAACATAATCTTAGTCATTAGGGAGGGAGGGGGTTATTGCGGTTGTTGTCACGTTCATAAAGACGTTTGTTATCAACATAGTCATAATCGTTAGAAAATGATCGATCGTTTTCTTATGATTATATATATGATTATGTTTGTAATAAACTCCGTCATTGTGTGTCGTAATCATAATAACGGATGTTCTTTCATTGAATTTTGGCCAATGAGCGCCCTATAGTTCCAGTAACTTGCAGTTCATACCATTCCAAAATGGCATCTAACTTGCCTCGAAGATTGGCTTTACCGAGAAGCGCCTTTGATTTTCCCCGTTTTGTCTTAGGTGGGGTTATAATGTAATGGCGAAAAAATTTCTGATTAGATGTAGTTGATGCGAGAAAAGCCCATCAATATTGCAATTTTTCTGTAGGTGTGTATCCATTTTTAAGGGAAAATTAGTATGAGGAAACACGGCATTTGCACCCTAGTTTCATAATAATACTGTGAATGCTCGTTGAAAACTGTGTTTAGTCTGTGCTCCGCTTTGTTAGACATAGGGAGCAGAGAAGCGAGTTTTCGCCTTCGAAGGCGGCAGCGCGAACTTCTCTTATTCAGCACTCAATAAAAGCTCTCTGTCCGCGAAAATGTAGCTTGATTTTCAGACGGTCCAGGTCCCTCGCGGTTACTCATTCCCTAGAGAATCTCAAATTTTTAAAAAAAATCTTTCTAGCGGTTTCGCTTATTTGTTAAAGTAGATCAAAAGGTTCACAAAACCGCTAAACAGAGCGCCTCGATAGATACAGAATAAAATCCTTCCTTCTAGCAATCAGTTAGAGCTATCTCCATGATCTCTACGTATCTCTCACACACGTTTTTAAAAAGATTGAAACTACTAGGAGGTGAAATTGCATTTCAAAAGCGCTTTGTTTTCTACAAATAATGGTCGAACATCAAGATTGTCCATTTCTTACTGTATTTCTAACCATAAAAACTTCATCCCAAATTATCTCGATAATGCTCTTATAGATTTCGCTTACACTTCGCCAACATATATCGAGGCGGCTATTGGATGAAAGCGCTCCCGTTAACGATTTTGGAACAACAGTTCCCAGTGTCGAGAAATACGTCTGCAAGTAAAATAGGCAATGGCGTCATTTCTTTGCTATGTGAACTAGATGTCATTGCAACCCTGATCATAACAAATTTTCATCTTTATCTAATACAGCTGTGATGAAAATTTTCCAAATTTTGTAAAAAGGTGACGTAGTTTATGCTCAAACTTGGGAGGTATTAACCCTGAAAAAGCCTATCGAGCCACGTTAATAATATCCCTACGTACGTACTTAGCTGGCTTAGCACACACGACCATCGAGTCACCCGCGGTGCCATTATATCCGTCAATCGTCAGTCGATAATTGTCATTGGCGTCAGCTACAGAGAATGTCGTGTACTCGGCATAGTTTCGGACACCATCGTAATCCTCCAAATCAACTCGGAGCATCATATCAGCATTTGCAGTCAGACGGTGAAGATTATCATTCCCTAACCAGAACTCCCCATTCAGATTTCCAAATCCCATTCTGTAGTCTTCCCATCCCAAGTAGAAGTCCACTGATCCATCCATTCGTCTTTGAAAGACTGTCCAGCCACCGCCCTCAGTTGTCATGTCACACAGCGCTTGAATGGGTCCTTCGTTGTCAGGGTAAACCAAGTACACTCCATTAGTCGTGGAACCATTTAAGTAAAGGTCTTGACAATGCCTTGGGCGAAAGCATTCTGGATAACACAACATGAGCTATTCACTGAAGCCATATAAAAGTTACTGAACAGATTTGGTTCTTTTGCAGTCGTTTTATTCGGTTCCAAAACAGCACTATAAATCACTAAGATACTGTAACCTAAGAACGCAACAGAGGACAAAAGGGAATCAATCCTCTTTTTACCCCCTATCAAATTGTACGAGAATTCATAATCCAAAATTATTCGAGTGAAGGGGTGAAGGGTGGAGATCACTGCACCCATAAATATCTTCTTTTTTTCTTTTTTTGGCTTTAAACTGAAAAAGCAATTCAAGTATTTCTACTGAGCTCTGCAAACGTTTTGTCTTGAAAAAAAGCTGTGAAGATTTACGTCTTTATTACATCCACTTTGAAATCACTGGCTATCCGTGCAATCTGATTGGCTCTCAGCAGTGTGATTTATTCCTAAATCGCACCATTTTTTGCTCTAAATCGCATCTGTTCCAAATTGCGTCATTCATGTTCTAAATCGCATCATTTCTGTTTTAAATCGCACTATTTTTGTTCTATATATCGCATCATTTCTGTTTCGAATACAAAATGAGATGTAAAAGCCTTTTTGTTTCGGCTTTTTAACAAACCAGCTACTCGATCAATAAAATATTAGTATTGACTAAATTCTGCGATTTCAAAATGGATGTAATTTTTTTCGTGTCGTGCAATTTTGGTCTGAAATCATATACTTGTGATTTCAAATCGAACTCGCGCTGCGCGCTCGTTCGAAAATCACGCGTATGATTTCAGACCAAATTGTACTCCACTTAGTTCAATTACCATTATTTATTACATCCACTTTGAAATCACTGGCTATCCGTGCAATCTGATTGGCTCGCAGCAGTGTGATTTATTCCTAAATCGCACCATTTTTTGCTCTAAATCGCATCTGTTCCAAATCACGTCATTCATGTTCTATATCGCATCATTTCTGTTTCGAATACAAAATGAGATGTAAAAGCCTTTTTGTTTCGGCTTTTTAACAAACCGGCTACTCGACCAATAAAAATATTAGTACTGACTAAATTCTGCGATTTCAAAATGGATGTAATAAAGTGGTAATTGAACTTCGTGTCGTGCAATTTTGGTGTGAAATCATACTTGTGATTTCAAATCAAACTCGCGCTGCGTGCTCGTTCGATTTTGAAATCACGCGTATGATTTCAGACCAAATTGCACTCCATTCAGTTCAATTACCATTCTTAATTTTGCCTAATTGCATAAGTGCTGATTAGATAGGTAATGTTACTCCTGGGCACTGTCTTCAAGGACTGGGAGAACAGTTTAGATTAATCCAGATTTGTCTGGACGCCTTACCTAAACCTATACATTTGCAGAAATGCTTGGTATCATCTTCGTAGTCGGGAATGCATATCTCATCTTCGGAGCAAGGTGATTCTCTTTCACAGATGCTCTAAAAAAAAGGAAAAGCTTGAAGTTTTGCCTGTACCTGACTGAGTCAAGATCAGCAATAGAACTGTTTAGCTTGTAAGTTTTGTTGATAATGCTCTAAAGACAAGGGAACTTTTTCTTTCAAATTTCGTCTTATTCGCGTCCATATCTACGCATGATTTATGAAAAGACAAAGGGCCAAGTTTTCCTGGGACCTCTATTGGGAAAACAAAACATACAAGCTAAAGAGGTCTATAAAACGAAATTTTCCTGAAAGAACTGTAAGGATCCACTTGATATAAAGATCCTGGTTTGTAGCGGGGCAGCTCTCGCTCAACCATGGAGCTTAATTCCCCTATAAAAGTCCCCGTTTCACTCTCGAGGTATTCTATACTACCCCCAATTTTTTATTTTTTTAATACGATCCCCATTGCAGGAGGAGTTCGGTGTACCGAAACGTTTGCCAGTATAATGATCTTGCACATTTCTAACTTTATTACGTTCGTGAAAATGAAGCAGTTTGTGTTATTTTTCCTGGAATCCTGGCTTCCTAATCGTATATATAAGAGTATTTCAATATTGCATTACATCGCTTTATTACTGACCTGTATTCCCCTATATATTGCTCCATCTTCGTCTGTGAAATTCTGATGGCCCACAAATCTATCTCCATGATTGATCTGACAAACGGACATCTCCATGCCTAAGATCGGGAGTAAGTTGTAGGATAAACATCGGCCATCAGCCACACATTCAATTTGACAAAATATTTCTGATGTCACATTCGACTCTTTGACCAAGCTTCCATTGAGTCTTCTCCCGTCAATCTTTTTTGCGAAATTTCGGAACTTCAAGTCTGGATCTGATAAGAAATCCTTTCCATGGACCGCAATACTTGCAGAGGATGTTAATAAAACTAACCATAAGCCTTCCATCTTCTCTGTGGTATGAAATTTTAACGGACTGAGAAAAACGTTTCTGTTAAAAACTGAAAAAGTTTCTGCTTGATATAAATAATTCAGCAAGCAACCGGATAAAGTTCCACGTCGTAAGTCTATATGTTTACATGTATACCATGGTTACCTTTTGGGGTTGATGTTTTTAAGCAATATATTAGCGCAGTTTTATTGCAAGATAATAATTTTACCAGTTAAAGCTTTTGTTTTAGCCTGGGGTCAAGCATGTAAATCTTACCTTGAAAAGCTTCTCAAGCTTCAAAAGCGAGCTCTTCGCTTTATGTATTTTTCTGAGCAAAATCAGCATTCAATTCCTTTATTTATCGACGCCGGTGTTTTGCCCTTAAAATTTTTGTATTATGAGCTTTTAGCTAACCTAATGTTTGAAATAAGCCACAGAAATGCTCCAAGTAACATTCAAGATCTCTTTCAAGATACTTCTGATATTCATTCTTATAATACCCGATCCTCTGCCTCTAATAACTTTTACACACAAAGTTCTAGACTCTCAGTTCAAGTGAATTCAATGTTTAGAAACGGAACAAAAATGGGGAATGAAATACCTGTAACTTTAAGAAAACTTTCAAAAAATGCCTGTACGAGGAAAATAAAACTAACCCCTTTAGAGATCCTCGCTTCAGAAGACTGATCTCCCAGAAATCTTTCAAAAAGTTAAGTTGAATTTATTTTCCTCTTAGTATGTAATAATTAATATCGTTTAGTGCATCAGTAGTCTCTTGTCATAACTGTGTTTTCATTTATTATTAGTATTCCGTTAGTTTATCAGTAGTCTCTAGTCGTTGTTTTCTATTTTAGTTTCTTTAGTTCTCTTGGTACTTTTAGTTGTATTTAGTTGTATTTATTTCCTGTAAACATGACCTGCCTAGATTAGCTTAGCTACCCGCGCACATGTTATAATTGCACTTTTACCTTAAAACACAATAAAAGAAAATGTATGTATGTATGTATGTATGTAATTATGTCTAAAATTCCGCTGAATTCCTCTTATTTTCAGTCTGCTTTAATAGTAGATGACAGACCAAATTCGTGAGGTCTTCCCCGTCATTGCCAGCAGGAACGTTTCGAATATTCTCAGCCCGCACAGTATGCTATCGTTTCTAATATTGTTGTGCCCAGTTTTGGTGCTTTTTTCATTAGACGAAAATAATTTTATAATAGATCGTGCTGCAGGATGAAAATTTGATTTTTGATCTGCAACGCTTTATTATGAACATAGGATAAAAGTCATTCAATTGGGGCACTTTTAACGTTCGATGGCACACTTCTTAGGATGCTGTAAAAAAAGTCATCATATTAAACGTTTAAATCTTCTTCGAGTTCCGAGAATATGATAATAATCAATGCAAACGGGAGTCAAAAATATTTCAAAGTCAAAAATGGAATCTATTGTCTATATGAGTGATTAGCGCTTGCCCGCGGTGCTGTTTATACTCTTTTGAATTTTATAATAATTACTAATCAGTTTTGCGTATATGAATGAAAAGTACCCCCTTTCTTTAAACAACTTTACGGAAGTACTTTTCCCGATTACACTTTTGTCATGTAGACCAACTTCGCGAAGTGACTGCATGGCCACATCAGAACTGTCACACCGTACTGACTGTTTGATATCTAGCCGGATTTATGAAAACCGTACCATCGGACTCCAGGAGCCCACACACCTTAAACTGACTCAACTAAAGTAAATATCGCCAAGAAACTCAGCTCTTACCCATGGTTCTCTTAAGGTGACTCTTTTCTTGGTTCGTGATTAGCAAAAGAAACATTCAAGTCCATCAAACAGACACTCTGGACTTGTCCATACACTCTAGCTGCTTAAAGGCCCTCAATGACGGAGGATGCTTGAGACTCAACCAAGTTCTAAGCAGAGAATTCAAGGTTAAATCACCCCCCTGACTTCCTCCACCCCCCCAGCCTAGCACGTGCTTGAGGGGAATGCTTTCATTGACCAATGGGCCTCAAACGTTACAAGAATTTGACATGACAAACTAAAGGCAGACATGACCAGTGCAATGACTCTCTCAGACCTGGACTAACGGAAGGTACAACGCTTTTGCAGCACCCTCCCCCCCTAGGGATTGACATGGAGGCCCCTTTCCAACCCATGGCGAGTTAGCTCAGGGACTGAGCTTGACAATGAGACTAACCAGGACAGCAAACCCCCTATATTTTTTCTCACCGCAGTGACCAGAAAGCTGGCTATCGCCAGCTTTCTGTGCGAATATTCTGGCCCATTTTGAGGTATGTTTTCAAAAATTCGGCTAGATATATCTAGCTAGGCAAATGATTAAAAATTCGTGAAGGAAGAAATTCAAGACTCATCAAGGCTAAGTGCAAAATCTTTCTAGTGAAAATGAAGTTTATTGCATTAAAATAAAGAATCATTTATTCTTCATGTTCCTTCATATGTTATGAGAGTTATTGATGTTGGCGGAGTCTCACTTTGGGCGAGCTCTGTTTGCTGGGACACAAAATGATTACAAACCCATTATGGGATATTTTGGCCACGGGAGTGGCCGTTTATTAAATTAAAGCATATAAAAATAAATCTCATTTTCACATCAACGGTTTCGCACTTAACCTCGTTTTGAAATAGAGGCTTGGGGAAACTCGGAAATAGACTATTGCTATTTAGACTCTTATTGTCTGTCACTTACAATCAATGTCAACCCCAGGCCTCCCTACCCCCATGCAGTTTTAGCACTCTCTTTTCCAAGAAATGTTCGGGTTTGTTTTTCCATTTCTGTCACTGTAATGAGCAATACTACAGGGCGAGGGGGGTTGCAAAACCTGTAGTAAGTTGTATACCAAGAGAACCAGGGACGTAGCCAGGATTCTTCTAGAGTTACGCCCAACTTTTCCTACATCGTCTCTCCCTTCCCTCCCCCCCTCCCAACCCAAATCCCTTTAAGTTGCCTTTATTTAAGGTGGGGTTAACGGTTGTAAACCTAGGCATTTTATGCTGTTTATGAAATGACACAACCTCTAGAATTCCTTAATTCTGTCGGCTTTATTGCAGAACCGTAGTTGGCGGGGGGGGGCAAGGGGGGGCAGCTGATCCCCCCTGGACCTGTTAAGCCAGACACATCAAGTCTGTGGATGGAGTTGTTTCCTTTAGACTCAGTTATGTTTGACATTTTCATATTTAAGGTCGATTTTTCGGAGACATATCCCCGGCAAGTGCTAAAAATAGCCCCCAAACTTGAAAATTTTCTGGTGGAGGATACCCCCAGACCCCCCTACAAGGCTCCTGCCTTCGGTACTCGCGATAATGCCCCCCCCCCCCCCCCCCATCCCCGTTACAAAAAAACCTAGTTACGGCCCTATATTGGGTTCTTGGACGTCAACCTTTAATCACTAATTCAGCTATTAAAAATCAAGCGAGTAGTACCTTCGACTTTAGGTTACAAATGACTGTTTTTTACTGCTTTTTGTGACCGACAAAAGTACCACACATTGACGTTATTGTGCCCTACTTCGTCTACTAAGACAAGTCGAGGAGAAAACAACGCGCTGACGCTTTACATCATCGAGCTTGCTATATAAATATATTATTCAAGATTCGTTTCACCAATTAATGTCGTCGCTTCTCTGGAAACCGACTTTTTAAATTCTATTTATTTTATTTTATGTTTTCTCCTCAACTTTTTCGGGTACGCACGTGCGTGCCGTGAGTAAAGGTAGCTACGCCCCTTAGAGCTGATTCTCTTGATACAAGTTCGTGATACATTTGCTATAACAGTGCTACGCAAGCTCATTCAATGTCAGCCTTTTTTTTTAGGCTATACGTTGTAACTTACAGCAGCTTGAAAGAAGTGTTTTCTCCTTCTTTTAGAGAGAAAGACTTTAATGATATTTCTTTATTGCTTATATATATTTTCACCTAGTCTTCATGAGATGTTTTCCTTCAGTTCTCGGCCAGTGTCGTCAGTGTCGTACTCCATTGGCAGGTATGTACACTAATACCTGTCTGAAATCACCTCAGGTAATTAGTCCTTCACAAGCTTAAAATGAATGGCCAAGCCCAATAATTGAATAATGCATATTTCTCTTTTATTTCTGTTGTCTCCCTTTCCTTGTACGTTTCAAAGGACGGCAAGACATGCACCAACCACTTTCGTGAAGAAAGCAGGGGGGCACAAAGCAATCGTGAAAACAAAAAGCAACAAAAAAATTAAAGAAGGAGAAACTAGGGACAAGCGATGGAGAATCACTCAACATAGGTGGGTAAGGTGGCTCCCAATTTAGTGGGTTTTTTATTTTATTTTATTTTATTTTATTGAAGATTTGCAAATCCCGCAAAAATTTCGGCCCCACTGAAGTGTATTACCGAAAAGAAAAGATGATGTTTTTCGAGGTTTCTGCATGTTGAGTTTCACTTGTATCTCCAAGTGCATGCAGTTAACGCGACGTTCTGAAAAAAAAAATCTTCGGCAAGAAGACCAGTCTTTCACAATCGCAGCTATTAGAGTCATGATCAGTCGTTGGTTTACACAAAACAGAAAAATACCTGGACAGACTTTAACAAAAGTGAAGGGGAAAGAGTGGGGGAGTTTCTGCTTCACATTTTTGGTTTTTATCGGAAGCCATGAGTCCACGTTTTCTTAATTAGTTTACATGTATTTGCGACTTTTTTTTCCTATCACTCGTAATCTGATCACGCTCGTTTTGATCTTCTGTCATACCTGCCCTGCGCTTCCCAGTGTTCTTTGGTAGGCATGTCTCTCGACCAGGATGCAATGGGAGTGGTAGTGGACTTAAGAGCACCAGCAATTTTGCCGGTTTTCTGAGCACGAGGGCTTGGCTCGTAAATTAAAGCTTACCTATGGCCCAAGTACGGAGGAAAGTCTGCTTGATTGTTATTGATGGCTGGGGCATCTCAGAAAACAAAGAAGGTGATAAGTTTTTGTTGTTTGCGTTGTATTTGCCGGCCTTGAACACTCTCTCGACGCAACCGGTGATCCATGACTTCAGAAATATTCTTTCAGCAACCTATATTTTGCGCTGTTGCTAATCTCTCGATATGACATACTCTCAATCTATGTCTTGAATCAGACCATTATTTGGAATGGGAGAACTTTGTCTCATAGGTGTAATCGCGTAATCGCACTCACTAAAATCACGGCCAACTGTTAAGCGAATATTAACGCTATGTTCATCCAGAAGTTACTTAATCACTCATCCAGTTGCCTTAATCCTTCACAGTGTTTAAAAATTTCTTGTATGATTTTTAATATATCAAACAACGTTCAGTAAGATGCCCCTTTTCTGTCCCTGGGAGTGTGGTGTGACATCGCGTGATTGGTCTCAGCTAACCAAGACTCCTCAAATCAAGTTGCAGGAGAAATTGAAGAGTTATTAAATTTTCTTTAACAGGAGGATTGCCTCCAAAACAGAAATGAAAACCATGAAGGGTACAAGAGTCTAAAAATGACACCCACAAGTCATGTATCTTGTCCGACTTCTTCTTTTCATCCACTAGCTTTTTACAGCTTTCATAATCAATGTTTTTCTTGCATTTGTCGTAGTCGTTCTCGGGATAAGATCCGTCGTTCACAGCAGGCCAATTGGTCTTCATCGTCGTTTCCGTTACTTCAAGCTCGTTGCCCTTCGCGTCCGACTTGATATACACGACGGAGATATCTTTCTTACAATGGTTGCAGAAAGCATAAATGCTGCTGGCACCATTGCTGCTCTTGTTACAGTCATTGCCTTTGATGACAATTTTCACATCGCCAGTGTCATCAGTGGCAGCATAGTTTTCGTTAAACAAGTTAGACATGTTCACCAGCTTTTACAGCAAAACAACCTGAGTTCGCAACTGAACACTGAAGCTATACTAGGATACATACAAACGATTTTGAACCAAGCGGGAAGGACTCAGATTCAGAATAAGCGAGGCGAGAGCAGCGAAGCTGCGAGGGAATGTTAACTTGACTTGCTCCCAATCTTCACACGGCTCCTCCGCCAAAATACTACAGCACTCGCCTGCTAATCCCGCCAGCTACGCAGGCTACCAGAACAACTTACCTTTAGGCTTTAATAGATTGTGCTTTCAAAAGTAGTATTTCTTAAATGATGCCAATAATTATGCTAGTTTTTGTGAATTATACTTGTTTTAGCAAAAAAAATGCAGAAATTTTGCTCTTACTTTTTACTTTTTACTTTAAATAATTTTGGTCAAAACACCTCAATAACTAAGCAACAAGCAAGTAAATGACAAACAAATCTACGCTGGTTACATCTAGAAACTTTACTAGTACATAATTCATTGTAAAAAGTGTTTGCAGTGATTGATGAATGTAGAAAGATAAACCATTGAAACAACAAAACTGTCTGACAACTATAAAAACTCAAACAATCGGCAACCAACACGCGGACTCCATCTCGGGTAGTCGAGCTAATGCACATGCGTTCAGTCCTGTAAAAAAAGGCCAGGGTCACTTCCCCCATGAATTTGACAATTAGCGGACAAAAAATTGATTTTGTTACTTAAATTTCAGGGGCACCCAACGACGATTTCCTGGATAGTGTTTTCAATGCCATTATATCCAGAGTACTTTTAGTTCTCTCAGAACTGCATTCTAAGCGGTGCTATAAATTTGAATCTGTTCGGTCATGATCATTTAATGGGAACTTGAGACAAGGGCTTCAGTATTATTTTCCCGAAAATTTTAAATGCAAGGCTGAATTTAAGGTATTTACGAAACCGACAAATTTTCTGTTTTCCTTCTCCATCACATTTTTGAATCCGAAAATTTTAGGTTTCCTTTTTTCTGCCAAAAATAGCCTAACTTGGGGAGCAAAATGTGAAAAATTTAACTTCAGAAATTCATAGGGAAGTTATTGTGATTTTTTGCCAAAACTAAGCTCGCAAATGTCGTAACGAAATTACCACGTGAAATTTTAAAAATGCCAGTTGTTTCGAAATTATGCAAATTTGTGACATACTATTGTATAAAAGGATCAAAATAGTGAGTGTAGGGGAGAACTCAGACAAGACAAAAAACCGTGAGATAAAGGCTTGTAAAAAAAAAAAACATGATTTCGTCGGCATTGATAGTTGGAATAATTTAGAACTAATGGGTGCGGAAGGATAAGTAGGCCTTAGTCAGTTTCTAGACTTTCAAAAACGTCCTTCGTGAGGTCGATTTGTGGCAAGTCTAGTCAGTTTCGAAGGTTTCTTGCTTGTGCGTGAGTCTCAATTAGGCCGAAATTTCATCTCCACGTGTTTCAGGGAATACCACTGGCTACTAAATGAATACCACACGACGCCTTGTGGGTGAGAGCCTCCTTGGTACAAACCATTGAGATTAGAGCAATGGCACTTCTTGTACCACCATCCTCCTTTGTGCAAAACCGCACAATTTGCTCCAGAATTCACATCATTGTCTCGATCTTGCGTTGTAAACATCATGTTCCTAAAGAAACAAAGATGAATTATTAAAACACAATTCTCCTTACAAAATCAGCAACTGCGATATTTGATATCCATTAATTCTGATTTATCAAAAACTTATTATTCATTACACTGGGAAACGCATAGAAAACTAACACAAGTTTTTAACGTTAAAATTCACTTTTTCATATAAAAGCAACTTATCGAGCTGGTCTGTATGCATGACTGTGTTGAAGTAGACCCTAGTTCGATTTTCGGCCGGACCAACAATTGGTTAGGGTCTTCAAATAATTAAGACAAGGAGGCCAAAGAGCTTGCTTTGCTCGACTTTCAAAAATAGGCACTTCTTCTAGTCTTCTCAGAAAATGACTAAAACTAAACTCATAGCTCCTGTGTCACAGTGTTTTCATTAAATCTAACTCTCTATATGGGACAAACAAGAGGCACGATGGGTCAATAACGACTCTCTGACAGCGACCACTCATTCAACCCATTGACCCTGGTCTAGCTTGGGTGGTTAATTTCTTACGAGAGATCTTAAATACGTTTTAACCTCTTGGTCTTTTTTCAGGTGCTGTAATAGCTGCCCTTAAGGTGACCCGAACCAGTTATTTTGTGAGGGTAAAATCCTAATTTGACGCTCTCTGGTATCCCCACCTTTACGGCTTTGATCGTAAGTCTAACATATAGCATGGATAAAATATAGATCAATATAGATCAAGCCCTAAAAGCTTTAGGGCCTTGTAAATGCGCGCGATTTCGAGCAATGCAAACATATGGATATTATAGTTTTAGCTATTTGTTGACGTTTGTCAGCGTTTAAAAAAATCATTTTCTTAAAAATTCGTAGTTTTTTTTTCGTTCAAGTTTTTTCAGGGCCACAATTCTGAATTTCATGGTCATTGAAAAACTGTGACATCATTATCTTCTATAACCTCAAACTTGAGTAAACATTGAAGACTTTTAGCGTTTTGGCTGAGTTTGTGCTTTGGGAGTTTTCTATTGTTTCTAGTCTGTCATGATACAGCATTCTTGTTCAGCACGCGTGCAATGACCGCGCTTGGCTGACTTCCGAATGCTCACCGAGATATGATAATTTTGATACGGTGAGACAGGCGATGGCGTGATACATAGAGGTTAAACTCACCATTTTTAATCAATTCTCGTGCTTCTTGCTCGTCTTGCTTAGAGGTAATGCTAAAATTGTTAGCAAAGCCCTTTTAATTCCCCCAGGGGGGGTACTCGGGATTTCAAGTGACGCGGATGATCGAAGGATTTTTTTGGGTTTGAAATTTTCGATTCCGGGATTTTTTTGGGTACGAAAATTTGGCAAGTATATTTTTGTAGCTTGATTTGAGTAGGGATTTTTTGGGGGTATTAAAAAGAATCGGCAGTGCCCTGGCTGCGTAGTTCTGCGAATAAAGTACAAACAAACGTGTTTTGCTGTTGTTTAATTTTCCAAGGTTTTTCTTTGTGTTATAGCATTACCCCTTTCTGGAACTTTTAAGGGCCACCAAATCGGCATGGGATTTTTTGGGGGTTAATTTTTGGTCCAGGGATTTTTTTGGGTTTTGCTGGAAGCCCTAAGGATTTTTTTGGGTCTTGACTTTTGGCTCCGTTCGATCATCCCCGTCACTTGAAACCTAGAGTACCTCCCTGGGGTACCTCCTGCAGTATACAAAGCGCTGAGGGTGCTCATGTCTAGACGTTGCGCGACGGGAATCCCTTCTATTTTCACCGTACCAAAATTATCATATCTCGGTGAGCATTCGGAAGTCAACCAAGCGCGGTCATTGCACGCGTGCTGAACAAGAATGCTGTATCATGACAGACTAGAAACAATAGACAACTCCCAAAGCACAAACTCAGCCAAAACGCTAAAAATCTTCAATGTTTACTCAAGTTTGGGCTTATAGAAGATAATGTCACAGTTTTTCAATGACCATGAAATTCAGAATCCGGATAGTTAGTGAATCAATTGTGGCGCTGAAAAAAATTGGAATTTAAATACCTAGAATATGCCTTCTTCATTTAGGAAAATGCACAAACTTGGTGGGGACCATTTGCCAACAAGTACTGTTACTGTCTGGAGGAGTGCTGCAATAAACTTGTTGTGAGTGCCTATCATTTCGCTTAACTACTATGAAGGCCTGTGGTCCCCAAGAGTGGGAATTTGACTTACAATGGAGACCCAAGGGTGGGGAAATTGACATTTGAAAACCTGAAAATGTCAAATTTCCCGTGGGTTGCCCGCCCCCCCATCCTGGGGCAAACCATTGATTGGTGCATTAAACAGCATGGTTGTATAAAAAGCATTGTGTGAGCTTTCTATTAGTTCACTGACGTAATGAATTCCAGTTCTTCTTTAAAAAGTTTTAAATGAGTTCAGTGAGTTCAACTGATCTCTCAGTTAAGTTACGCCAAAAGTAGGCGAACCCTCTTTGGGTTGAATTTCTAAAAACAAAATCCAAGTTTAAAAGAAAAAGAGAAATTTGAAGTCGTTTGCAAACGTTCCTCTACACAACGAGGAATTAGGAGTTACTCCACGACTGCAAAGAAATGTTCCAAAAAGTGTGCTACACGTGCAAAGTTTCTAGCTTCTAGGTGGTTCCATTAGCGACATAAAGATCATAATCTTAGTCGTTGGGGGGGGGGGGGGGGACGGGGGTTGTTAGGTCAAAGTATAAAAACATATTAATAAAGAAGCTTGTTATCAACATAATCATAATCTTAAGAAAATGATCGGTCATTTTCTTATGATCATGATAATGTTTGTAATACACTCATTGTGAAGTCGTAATCATAATAACGGAATGTTCAATTCTTTTATTGAATTTTGGCTAATGAGCGCCCAATATTTCCAGTAACTTGCAGTTCATACCATTTCAAGATCATGGCATCCAACATGCCTTGAAGATTAGTTTTACCGAGAAGCGCCTTTGATTTTCCCCGTTTTCTCTCAGGTGGGGTCATAATGTAATGGCGAAAAAATTTCTGATGAGATGTAGTTGATGGGAGAAAAGTCCATCAATATTGCAATTTTTCCGTAGGTATGTATCCATTTTAAGGGAAAATTAGTACGAGGAAACACGGCATTTACAGCCGAGTTTCATAAGTATACTATGAATGCTCGTTTAAAACTGTGTTTCGTCGGTGCTCTGGTTTGCTAGACATAGGGGAGCAGAGAAGTGAGTTTTCACCTTCGAAGGCCGTAGCGAACTTCCCTCATTCAACACTCAATAAAAACTCTCTGTCCGCGAAAATGTAGCCTGATTTTCAGACGGTTCAGGTCGCTCGCGGTTACTCATTCCCGAGAGTAAGCATAATAATCTTGAAACTCAAAGGTCATATAAAACGCCGGTTAATCTAGAGAAAATCTCAATGTTTTTTAAACAAATCTATCTAGTGGTTTCGCTTATTTGTTAAAGTAAATCAAAATGTTTACAAAATCGCTAACAAGAGCGCCTCGATACATACTGAATCAAATCCTTCTTTCTAGCAATCGGTTAGAGCTATCTTCATGTTCTTTCACACAAGTTTTTAAAAAGAATGAAACTACTATGAGGTGATACTGCATTTCAAAACGCTTCGTTTTCTACAGATAACGGTCAAACATCAAGATTGTTCAGTTGTTACTGTATTTTCGACCACCAAAACTTCATTCCAAAATATCTCGATAACGCTCTTATAGATTTCGCTTAAACTTCTCGAATATCGAGGCGGCTATTGGAGGAAAAAATTCCGGTTAACGATTTTGGAAGAGCAGTTTCCAGTGCCGAGAAATACGACTGCAATTAAAATTGGCAATGGTGTCATTTCGTTGCTACGTCAACTCCGATGTCATTGCAACCCTGATCATAACAAATTTTCATCTTTATTTAATACAGCTGTGATGGAAATTTCTCCAAATTTTTGTAAAAAGGCGACGTAGTTTATGCTCAAACTTAAAGGGGTATTGACACTGGAAAACCCTATCGAGCCACCTTAATTACATCCCTACGTACGTACTTAGCTGACTGAACACACGTCACCATCGAGTCACCCGCGGTGCCCTGATATCCGTTAATTGTCAGTTGATAGTTGTCGTTCGCGTCAGCTACAGAAAATGTCATGTACTCGGCATATTTTCGTACACCATCGTAATCCTCCAAATCAACTCGGAGCATCATATCAGCATTTGCAGTCAGACGGTGAAGATTATCATTCCCTAACCAGAACTCCCCGTTCAGATTTCCAAATCCCATTCTGTAGTCTTCCCATCCCAAGTAGAAGTCCACTGATCCATCCATTCGTCTTTGAAAGACTGTCCATCCACCTCCCTCTGTTGTCATGTCACACAGTACTTTAATGGGTTCTTCGTTGTCAGGGTAAACCAAGTACACTCCATCAGTCGTGGAACCATTTAAGTAAAGCTCGTGACAATGTCTTGGGCGAAAGCATTCTGCATTAAAAAGCATGAGCTATTCACTGAAGCTAGCAAGAGATTCCACGCCTTAATTAGCTTGTATAAAAAAGTTACTGAACAGATTTGGTTCTTTTACGGTAGTCCTATTGTGCTTCAAAACAGCGCTAAAAATCATTAAAGATCATAAATAAGCTAAGAGTGCAAGAGAGGAGAAAAGGGAATCAATACTCTTATCACCTTCTATCAAATTGTACGACCATTGAATAATCAAAAATTACTCGAATGAAGGAGTGAAGGGTGGAGATCACTGCTCCCCTAAATATCTTATCTTTTTTTTTGGCTTTAAATTGAAAAAACAATGCAATTTTTTCTACTGAGCTCTGTAAACCTTTCGTCTTGAATAAAAACTGTGACGATTTACGTCTCAATTTTGCCTAATTGCATAAGTGCTGATTAGACAGGCAATGACTCCTTTGCACTGTCTTCAGATCAAGGACTTGGAGAATAGTTTACTTTGTGCTAAATTTATTTAAGCTTTGATGGCCTTTACACTAACAACGATAAATTGAAAATGGAGTTTCTCGCCGTCACAGTCGTTTTGTATCTATGCCATAACAACAAAACTACTGCACCAACCGTACAGTGACAGGCGGTTAAAATTTCACTACCCTGGAGACCGCTCGTTTTCTTTACCAATTTTAAATACCATTTGAGTTTGGACTTTAGGCCAGGCTGGAGAAAATGTAAAACTGGAATGCGTTTTTGGATTAATCCAGATGTGTCTGGACGCCTTACCTAAACCTATGCATTTGCAGAAATGATTGGTGTCATCTTCGTAGTCGGGAATGCATATCTCATCTTCGGCACAAGGTGATTCTTTTTCACAGATGCTCTAAAAAAAGAAGAAAAGCTGTGCTTGAAGTTCTGCTTGTACCTGGATGAGTCAAGATCAGCAATAAGAAGACATGTTCCTGAAAGAAGGAACGATCCACTTGATGTAAAGATAACGGTTTGTAGTAGAAAAGGGCACCTCTCGCCCAACAATGGGGCTTAATTCCCCAACAAGTCCCTGTTAAACTCTCGAGGTATTCTACACTAACCCCATTTTTTTAATTTTTTTAATACGATCCCCATTGCAGGAGGACTTCGGTGTAGCGAAACGTTTGCCATTATAATGATCTTGCACCTTTCTAACTTTATTACGTTCGTGAAAATGAAGCAGTTTGTGTTATTTTTGCTGGAATCCTGGCTTCCTAATCGTATAAATAAGAGTATTACATGATATTCCATTAACTCGCTTTATTACTGACCTGTATTCCTCTATATATTGCTCCATCTTTGGCTGTGAAATTCTGATGGCCCACAAATCTATCTCCATGATTGAGCTGACAAACGAACATCTCCATGCCTAACATCGGAATTAAGTTGTAGGAGAAACATCGGCTATCAGCCACACATTCAATTTGACAAAATATTTCTGATGTCACATTCAACTCTTTGTCGAAGCTTCCATTGAGTCTTCGCCCATCGATCTTTGTTGCGAAATTTCGGAACTTTAAGTCTGGATCTGATAAGAAATTCTTAAATCCATGGACCGCAATGCTTGCAGAGGATGTTAATAAAACCAACCACAAGCCTTCCATCTTCTCTTTGTTATGTAATATTATCAACAGACTGAGAAAAACGTTTCTGTTAAAACTGAAAAAGTTTCTGCTTGATATAAATAATTCAGAAGCAACCGGTTAAAGTTCCCCGTTGTAAGTCTGTATGTTTACGCGTATACCATGGTTATGTTTTGGGAATGATGTTTTTAAACAATATTTTATCGCAGTTTTATTGCAAGATAATACTTTTACCAGTTAAAATATATGTCTTGATATATGTCTAAAATTCCGCTGAATTCTTTTTATGTTCAGTCTGCTTTAATGGTAACTGACAGACCAAATTCGTGAGGTCTTCACCGCCGTTGCCACAGAAACATTTTCAGCCCGCACACTATGCTGTCGTTTCTAATTTTGTTGTGCCCAGTTTTGGTGCTTTTTTCGTTAGGTGAAAAGAATTTTTTAACAGATCGTGCAGCAGGATGATTTTGATGATGATTTTGATCTGCAATGTTTTATTAAGAACATTGGGAAAAGTTATCTACCTAGGGAACTTTTAACGTGCGATGGCACACTTGTTAGGATGCTGTTTTAAAATTGGTCCTATTAAACGTTTGAGTCAGTTCCTCGAGTTCCTACAATATGATAATGAGTGTAAACGGGAGTCAAAAATATTTCAAAATCAAAATGGAATTTGTAGATTCCAATCACTTATTAGCGCTTTCCTGTGGTGCTGTTTATATTTCACTCTCAGTTTGAATTTTACAATAATTTTCTAATCAGTTCTTTAAACAATTTTAGAGAAGTACTTTGCACGATTACACTTTTTTTCGTTACGTAGACGACAGTTTCCTACGACCAACTTCGTGAGGTGACTGGCCACATCAGAAAGATGTTACACCGTACTGAGTGTTTGGTATATAGCTAATCAAATGATTAAAAACTTTTGACTCAAGAAACTCAAAACTTTATGAAAATCAGTATCATTTAACCAAACTTCCTTTACGATATTTAAACTGATTTGTTTTCTCTTTATTAGTTGTCAATGATTTGAGTGTCTTCGAATTTTTTAACTTAAAGAAAACCATAGTTAGGACCTTTGGTCGCTTGCAGCACATGGTAAATAAATATTTTATGTTAATTCTGGTGTACTAATTCTATTGCTGAAGTTGACTTTTTCTTGTATTGACTAAGGAATACATTTTGAAATTCTAGTTTCTCTTTCCTTGTTTGACAAATAGGCCATTTCCGACTCTCCCTTTCAAGGCTACGTGCAAAATCTTTCTAGGGAAAATGAAGCTTATTTGCAGTAGAATAAAGAATCATGTTCAAATCAATGGCTTCGCACTTAGCCTCGCTTTGAAACAGAGGCTTGGGGCAAACTTGGAAATGGTCTGTTGTCATTTGGACTCTTATTCTCTGCCACCAAGAGACAATGCTGCCACTTATGATCAATTTCAACCCCAGCCCTCCCTACCCCCAGCAGTTTTAGTACTGTCTTTTCCAAGCAATGTTCAGGTTTGTTCTTTCGGTTCTGTCACTGTACTAAGCAATACTGCAGGGTGGTGGGGGGGAGGCTGCAAAACCTGTAGTAAATCGTGTAACGAGATAGCCTCCCCGCAGACGTCCTTTGGGGTTCGTTTGTCACGGAGAAATGAATGCGTGACAAACGAAACCCCGAAGGACGTCTGCGGGGAGGCTAGTAACGAGAGAGAATTCTCCTGATACAAGTTAGTGTTACATTTGCTATAACAGTGCTACGCGAGTTCACTAAATATCATCTCTTTTATTTTAGGCTATACGTTGTAACTTCCAGCAGCTTGAAAGACTTGTTTTCTCCTTCTTTTAGAGAGGTTGATCTCGCCTCGAATATATGATATACCTTTATTGGCAAAAAGACTTTCATGATATTTCTTTATTGCATATATATATTTTCACCTAGCTTTTATGAGATGTTTTCCTTCATTTATCGGCTAGCTTTAGCGTCGTCAGTGTCGTACTCCACTGGCAGGTACATATACCAGGGCTCTAGCTAGCCCATAGACCTGTAGGCCAGGACCCACTGCTTATAAAGAATTATGCGTTGCTGGGGTGAGCTAAAAAGCTAAAGAGCTCAAAGTGTCGCTGAAGTCAGTGCGTACTAATCATGCGTGCAATTTTCAGGATATGTGGAAGTGAAAGTCAGCCAGGCCTACAGCTAGTCGAAAAGCTGGCTACGCCCCTGTATACCTGTCTGAAATCACCTCAGGTAATTAGTCGTACACAAGCTTTACATGAATGGCCAAGCCCAATAATTGAATAATGCACATTTCTCTTGCATTTCTGTTGTCTCCCTTTTTTTTTTCCTTGCACGTTTCAAAGGAAGGCAAGACATGCACCAACCACTTTCGTAAAGAAAGCGGGGGAGAACAAAACAAGCATGAAATCAAAAACAACTGTCCAACGAATTAATGAAAGAGAAAATAGCCGACAAGACAGACAAGCGATAGGGAATCAATCAGCCGGGGTGGGTAAGGTGGCTCTTAAGTTTAGCGGGGTCCTTTTTTTCCCTTTAAGATCTGCAAATCCCGCAAAAACTTCGGTTCCACTGTAGTCGAATACCGGTGTGGAAAAGATAGTGTTTTTCGATGTTTGTAGTCTGCATGTTGAGTTTCACTTGTATCTCCAAGCGCATGTAGCGAGTGAACGCGACTTTCTAAGTCTGCGCACGAAAAAAACTCTCCGGCAAGAAGACCAGTCTTTCACGATCGCAAATATTAGATGATAAGTCGTTGATTTACACAAAACACAAAAAAAATACCGGATCCGCAAAATCAAGGAACGGACCATAAGAAAAGTGAAGAGGGAAGGTTGGGGAGAGTTCCTGCTTTGCCGGGCTCCTGTCTTTACTTCTTTGGTTTTTATTGGGGGGGGAGGGGTGTAACCATGTGTCCATGTTTTCTTAATTAGCTTCGTTGTATGTATTTGCAATTTTTTTGCATCCTATCACTTGTAAACTGATCACGCTCGTTTTGATCTTCTATCACTTGAAACAACGCTAGACGCTGGAGCATAAGACCTTGGATTTCCCAGTGTTCTTTGCAGGCATGTCTCTCAACCAGCATGCAGTGGGGGGGGTAGTGGGCTTGAGTACCAGTAAATTTTGCCGGTTTCCTGTAACTCTGTGTTTCTGAACACGAGAGCTTCACTCGTAAATTAAACGTTACCTATGGCCCAAGTACAGAGGAAAGTCTGCTTGATTGTTATTGATGGCTGGGGCATCTCAGAGAACAAAGAAGGTGATAAGTTTTTTTTGTTTACGTTGTATTTGCCGGCCTTGAACACTCTCTCGACGCAACCGGCGATCCATGACTTCAGAAATACTCTTTCAGCAACCTATATTTTGCGCCGTTGTTAATCTCTCGATATTACATACTCTCAATCGATTTCTTGAATCAGAGCATCGGTTGGAATCGGAGAACTTTGTATCATAGGCGTAATCGGGTAATCGCACGTTCTAAGACTCACTCAAATCACAGCCAACTGTTAAGCGAATATTAACGCCTTGTTATCGGGTCATCGGTGACTTTTCCTCCAAAAGCTGCTTAACTACTCATCCAGTTGTTTAATATTTCATTATGTTTGAAAATTTCATGCATGATTTTTTAGTATGTCTAAGAACGTTTAGTAACTAAGGTGCACCTTTTCTGTCCCGTGTAGTTGCGTGACATCGCGTGACTAGTCTCAGCAGACCATGCACAGCTCCAACTTGCGTGGTTGTGTCCCAGACTCCTCCAATCAAGTTGCAAGAGAAATTGAAGAGTTATTAAAATTTTTGCAGCATAATTTGTTAAGCAAGTTGTGTGCCTAGAGTATGCATTTTTAACTTGCTTGTCCAGAAGTGTTACATTAGCAAAAAAACTAGCCTGAGAAAACAGCCCACATTTTGTGACACCACCACTGGTTTCCTCCCGAAATGACATCTGAGCAATGACTGCAGAAATTCCATACTGATGGCACATCACTACCCAGATCTGGGTAGTGCTTTCGATTGATTGAAGCAAATTTCCCTTGCGACACAACCAGTCACAGGCACTACCCAGATTTGGGTAGTGACACATCATCAGCATCGAATTCTGCATCGTTTCTCAGATGTCATTTCAAAACATCAGCTGTTTTCTCAGGCTAGCATAAAATTGACCTCCTTCAGGATGGTGAAGAGTGGAATAGGCCTTGATTATGAATCAGAAAGGTATATTCTTCTAATCTCAAAAGATGTCCCGTCAAACCTCTCCACAATAGGCCCCTTGTGGACAGAAGAAAGTGGCCATTGTGGAGAGGTGGCCATTATGGAGAGGTAGGGGTGTAATATGACAAATGTTTTTAAGGAGTACAACATGTTCATTGAATGTTCATACTGGAGCCACGATTAATCATCCATAAGCCATATGGATCAAATTTCACAACCATTCTTGACATTTTCGTCAGTCACTGAAAAAACTGGCTGTTGTCGAGAGGTTATTTTGGCAGTTTAGGACACACTTTAGTGGCCATTGGCGTTATAGAGAGGTTTAAACAAGAGTCATTGTATGGACTGTTCTCCAGGACAAGAAAAAGTGGCCACTGTGGAGAGATAGCCATTAGTGGAAGTTCCACTGTACTCTGTTGAGACCATTTCAATCATGTATTTTACTGTGATCATCTCCAATTTATTAATAAATTTGCATTGTGATTATTATTTTTAATACTTTTTCTGTCGAGGCTGGATAGGAGTGTAGGAAAAGTCCTAAAAAGGATCAATTTCAGTCTTTTGCTTTATTATTAAGCCATTTACAATTGGCTGTCTTGTGTTTATTGTTGCATTTGACTAAGATGGGTTACTGCAATGAAATAAAAAACTTCTTTTCAGTTTTCACTGATACTTTCCTTTAGAATCATGAATCTGCTACAGTGTCATGCTGCACTGTAAAGTCTAAATTCATGGATGAAGCCAATATTTAAGATGCTGTCCCTGCTATTTTTTGCTCAGTTCATGCTTATGCTCAATGCAACATGTGTAGTTGATGTGCTTTTTTTCTTTAATCACGCAGGCAATGCTATTGCCAATGGAACGGTACCAGTTATGGACAAGTTTTGTGCTGGCCACGACAATGCTTACACCACACTAGATGCCTCAGGCTTGTCAGTTGGTTTGCCAGCAGGGCTTATGGGTAATAGTGAAGTAGGGCATTTGAACATTGGTGCAGGAAGAGTTCTTTATCAGGTAAAAGCTATGATATAACAATAATACAAGTACCCTAATAAATAATCAACATCAAATTTCTCCTTCAAATATTACTGCTTAATCAAATCTTTATTTTCTTAAGATCATGAGAATACAGAAAGAAATTTTTGTACTTAAGATAGAAATGCTGTGATGTTTGACCAAATTCTGGTCATACCTGTAAGTGTTATAAAAACGTTCTCTGTGTTGAAAATGATAAAAAAGAAGCTTTAAGCCACGTTTTACTGAATTCTGAGCAACAAGAATTAATTCAGACATTTTGACCAAGAATAATTGATTGTTTTTTTTCTGCCATTTAAAAATTGAAGAATATCTGCTTTGATATTAATTTGGGCTTCAATGTTCACTGTGGATTTCTTATCTATGTAATATGTTAACATTTTCTTCCTTTTGCAAAATTAGAACAAGGATATTTTTTCACTTACGTTATGCATGCTATTTATTTACACATGAATAATTCTTCTGGTCTCACTATACAAAGTTTCCAGTTCAAACAAAAAATTCCTCTGTCTTTAAGAGCAAAACAACTGACATGAGGCATAATTGTGTGAAACTATCTTTTTCTAGGATATTGTGAGAATTAACATGACTTCAGATAACAAGGAGTTTGCTAAAAATGAAGTTTTGGCTGATGCAGCTGCAAGAGCAAAGTCTGGTAATGGAAGACTTCATTTTCTGGGTTTGGTAAGTAATTAGAGCATTCATGTCAGATGATAGACTGACAGTTAAATATTTAGTTTTTGATTTATAAAAACCACTTTGATGAGAAGTTTTTTTGTAAAACACTAAAGCATAAAAGAGTATGGTGATCAAAACGTGACGTGCATCGTCGAAGGATTGTCGCCATTTTTTGTGGCCATGAGATCTGTTACTTCTGCCTCTTGGAAGGCCTCTGACTGAGAGAGCTTTGCAATGACTCTCTGGTTTGTCATCCTGTTATAAGGAGAATATAGCTAGAGTCTTTAACCAATTGTAGATACAATTGCACAGGGGATGAAGATTGGCTTGTGAAGAAAGAGCTAACTTAAAGCTGGCTTTTAGATTTACTAAATTCATAAGTCTTGATAGTCTATTATGACAGGAGGCACCTTTCTGGCTTTCGTTTGGTGCCTGGAACAAGAGACAGAAAAGCATCTGCTCTTACAGGCTTAAAACTTAACTGATCTGTGCATTTAATGCTTACAAGTACAAGACCTAATTGGGACTAAAGGTTTGCACACGTGTAGATTTTCCCCAATGTTTAGTCAACTGGGGAACACTGCACACCTCTAAGACCAAAGGCAAAGTGTTCAGAATTGCTTTTCATTAATTAAACCAACTGTTGTAAGTAATTAAATATGAATAATATGTTGTCCTAATATTACTCTACATTGTTTTAGAGATGAAGTACAGTGTAGTTACTTAGAAAAAAAAAACTACCATTGAAGTTTATTGTAATTCAAAAAAATAGTTGGTTTTAACATTTTTCTTTCTCTTTTTTTTCACTATAAGCGTTTCCCTTGAGTAAGGGTTACCCTGGAAACTGAAGCAGAGACTAGGATTATATTATTTTTTTATTTCAGGTGAGTGATGGTGGTGTCCATTCACATATTACACATTTGGAGTCATTAATTGATGCAGCTAAAGAACTTGCCATTCCAAAGTGTTTTATTCAGTTTTTCTCTGATGGGCGAGATACCTCACCAACCAGTGGAGGTTTGTTAAATTACTAGTATTCACAAGGCTGTTTTCTAAGAAAAACTTGAGGAAGCCTTTAAAATTCATTGTCCCCAGTGCATGGTTTTTGTCCTAAGTCACTTAAGGTCTTTTCCAGACATCCAAGGTTCAGTTAATACACATGCACTTTAATAGGGTTTTTTGCAATAGCTTAGTCAGGTGATCAACGTTCCGTAAACATGAAAACAGTTCGCTTTTTGAAAATTTTGTTAGCTGGAACTGAAAGAGCATATTTTAATTAGGAAATTAGCTGTTGCAACAGCTACCAAAAATTAGATCGATTTGTATGGGAAAAACAATTCTTGCCACTTAGTCATGGCTGAGTGGTTTTCCATGCAAGTTCAGGAAAAATGGGGTAATCAAAAAACCCCAAAATACCGTAAAATTCCGAAAATAGGCCTCTCCATGTATGAGCCCCTCCAAACTCGTAACGCAAAAAACCCTCCTTTAAATCGCCCCCAAATAAATAGAAGCCCCCCAGGGGGCTTGTACTCGGAAATTGCCCCCAAATACAGAGTAAAACAAAGAAAAATACGGTAAATTTCCTTCCATTTATAAGGCTAGCCTAATCGATTTTGAAACGCAAATTTCCCTCCATAGATAAACCCCTCCGAATATAAGCCCCTCAAAAAGGGCTTTTGAAAAATGTAAGTCCCGGGGCTTACTTTTGAATTTTTACGGTAGTCTTATGCCAATTGTTTTTTACCCAATTTGGCATTTTTGAATGGCCAGATTTGGTTGTTTTGTGCTAAAAGGAGGATTTTCTCAGAAAACTTTGTACTTTTCTTAACAGGGCCTCATTCTAAGGGATGTATTATAAAATTATTGGTTCAATATCTTATTCAGCCAATGCATATCTATATTACAGGGGGAGGCTTTTTAATAGTAAACCTTGATATCTTTGTCTTGTTAGTGTGAGCAGGATAGTTTACAGAACTTCACACATACTATTAGTGGTTAGCCGACTGTGAATCTTTTTTTTTCCAGTAACCTATATAGAACAAGTGTTAAAAAAACTAAAAGAAGTCAATTATGGCTCACTTGCAACTGTGGTTGGTCGTTACTACGCCATGGACCGTGATAAGCGCTGGGAGAGAATCAAGATTGCTTATGAGGCCCTAGTCCAAGGAATTGGTGAAACTACCACACCAGACAAAGTCATTGAGGTATATAAAAAAATGTACCTCATATGAGTGTCAATGTATTTAGCACGAAAGTACTAACTGAGGTCATTATTTTTATGTCTCCTACTTGGAGATGGAACCGCCATTTTACATGGTTTCTGAGCCACGTGAAGGTCTAGCCGTCTGCACGCAGAGCAAAGGTAGTACCTTCATTTCTCTGTTATTTTAAGACCCTGAGTATTGGTCTGGCCTCAGGAATCGAACCCACCACCTTCTGATCTGCCGTCAAGTGCTAACTGAGCTAATCCTGTCATGGTTAAAGATAGAACCCACTGTATTCCTCCAGAAATATTGAAGGAGCTATCTCAGCTCTCACAAGCACATTTGAATTTAATTTTCTCATTAGTAATAAACCTATAGTAGAACTTTAGCATAAACAAGTACCTTATCTCAACAGGTCATTAAAGGACGATATGAAGCACAGGGAGACAAACATGAAACAGATGAATTTCTCAAACCTATCATCTTAGATCCAGAGGGAAGAGTTCAAGGTTAGTCCCTAACTTGCATTCCTGACAATAGTAACTGTTGTTGAAATATGCCCTTGAAGGCAGTAAAATTTACGGCATTATTTCATGGCACTGCTTTTGTTTTTGTTGGCACTCTCCTTATACAGCAATGAGTATAATAATTAAATATAGGTACTAAAAAACTGATTGAAATGCTTTGTTAAACTTGTCAAATGTCGCATGCCATTCACCAGACAAATTTACACAAACTAACTTACATAACTTACTGTTTGTTTCTTTGTTTAGTTTTTCTTTTTCAATTTGATTATTTGTCAAGTTTAATTTGACCTCTTTCAAACCTTTTGACCTTCTTTTACATAGACTTGAACATGTAAGTGCTTCTTTTGTTAATTTTTTTATTTTGATCTTGTTCAGATGGAGACACACTCTGCTTTATTGATTTCCGCTCTGATAGAATGAGGCAAATTAGTGAAGCTTTTGGTATAAAGCCACCATTTGAGACAGATGTCATTCCAAAAAACACTGTAAGTAAGCCAGACACTGAGTGTCCATCTTAGAGAAAGTTGGCAGCATTATAATTGTGTCAATTTATGTTCCTAAATCGCAGAAGATAACCACAGTTGCCTTCAGAGGAGACTAATGTCACTCCAACTGTGTTCATTTCACTAACTGTCGCAATTTATTTATAATTTTGATAGCAATATTACTTAATAATTCCATTCATTGTTTTCACCGTCTGAGACCATAATGCACCTTGTTTCCCCCCTAAATTTTGCATAACCATTGTCTTTGACTTTCGTTGGGATAACTTAATTAAATTCCCAGGAGAAATTGGAACAATGTTTTGGTAAAATTTTGGGGGGTAAGTAAGGTGTATTATGGCCTCGCTGAAAATGGTGAATGGCGATATAAATTGAATTTGACACACAGTTTCCTCTGCCTAGTTCCCAGTCTCTCAAAATCACTTTTTTGGGGGGATATTTGAGTTGTCACTCTCCACTCTTCCCATCATCCCCCTCTTGCACTTCTCACTCATTTCCAGTACCCCACTTTAAAAGTCTGTAGTCTCCATTAAGCATTGGAAAAGCTGTAAAGGAAGCAGTAGCTTCCTTGAAAAGCATGTTTTCTTCTTTATCATCTTTATTGCTGGTTTTCAGTGTCACGCCATTCAAAATAGATCAAAATAAAAATCAAATCCCTTCAATAGATAAAGTCCAGAATCTGGAAAATGAAAGGAGGTACATATGCAAAGACCCTCGCCAAGATTCAGGTCAGAGGAATATTTCGTATATGAGATATCCGAAGAAAATGTTTGACCCAAATTTATAGAGATTTGTATGGAGACGCCATGCTGGTGCTCACCTGGATGAGCTCCAACATGGCGGACGGAAACCAAGAGAAACATCTGTTACCGACTTTTGCTACAAAAGCGTGAATTTATTCTTCGAGAAACTCATAAACATTAAAGTAATACTTTTTCTAATACATGAACAGTTTAGATAGCAAAATTTCGTGAAATAAGTCATTTTTTTTAACCTACATGACAGGGAGTCTCTTGGCGGTCATGTAAATGCCGCGTCACGCAAAAGCTTAGAAATTCAAGCGTACTCTATCATAAAACCAAGAACCCTTTTGAAGCGAAAACTTGTACGAAAATTATTTTTCAGCTGCTCTAATGCATGGTGAAAGAAAAATCTCCGTAGGATCGATAGTTTTTTAGTTTGAATTTTAGTGACGTCATGTGAAAACCAACAATTATTGCGTTCGTCAGAACGCATCCTAATCTGGTGTTCCTGTGGCACTAAGACAGAAATTCTCGAGCTATCACGGGCGACTGCAAATTAGCCACCCCTATTAATTTTATCAGGGGCACCTCGGCCGGGAAACTGGACTCCTTTAGACTCGATTTCGTTTCCGTCATTTTTCCGTAAGTGACGAACGCGGATCCCTTCCATTCAGATACCCTTACTTTTCTCCTTTTGAGTAACAGACGTCTTAACTTCTTCACCGGAAGTCTGCTAGGTGCATAACCGCTTGGCCTAAAAGTGAAGCTCTCGTTAATATCTATGGTTTACTCAAACAAAATGTTAAATAATCGTGTAATGCTAAGCGGCGACGGCAACAAAAACAGCCAAAAAAATGAGTAGGTCTAATTAGCAAAAAAACAACTTTGCATGTGCAGCACACTTTTTTTGTACATTTCTTTTCCGTTATTTTGCACAGTTACACGTTTTATGGAGGAAATGTTGTAACAGTATGTGTTCCTGTTCATTCATTTTAACCTTGGTGGCCGCTAGCATTTCTCATTTTCTCACCGCCGCTATAAAACTTTCATGTTATTCTTCCAACGAAATTAGTCTCCTTTGCTTTTTATCTCTCGCTCTAGCTCTTTTTCTGTTATCCACGTCAATGTAGACATTGAAATTAAATCGAAAGAAATTATCGGCTTTGTTGTTGTTGTTTTTTTTATCTCTAAAAGTCCGGATGGCTATGCGATCGCGCGGGTACTTGTAATGCAAAATCTCACCCCGACTTACATGATGGGGTGGACGCGCGGACGATCTTCTCAGAACCAATATTTCTTGGATGCATAGATAACCAAATTTTCTTACCCATAGTACTCCGCTGTGCGCGCTTCGCGCGCGCGTGAGCGTCCAGTTAACTCCACACCTTCTCCAGCAACGTACCTAACTAACATCAATAGACTCCCTTACAAAACTTGCTGAAAATGCACAATCTTCACACCGAGGATAATTCATGTACAACATTGCAATCTAAACCTAGAAATACGTATCTCGCAATAACCCTCGCCAAAAAAATGTTTTTTAGTAGCGCCAGTCAAGTTAAGCCCTGTCGGGCGGGGTTAGGAATTGGATGGGTAACCCACCGCGAATAGCGTCGTGAAGGTCCATATTTTGTTCTTTCTTTTCTTTCTCTTCTTTTTTTAGCATCAAATAACTATGACACAGTACAAGAAGGAATTTCCTTTTCCTATATTGTTTCCCCCTGTTGTTCCTAAAAATGTCCTGGCCGAATGGCTTTCTGTTCAGAATGTCCCTCAGTTCCACTGTGCAGGTAGGTCCGTGTAGACATGTCTAAAGGCTATACAGTAAACACCCTCGACTAAGAACCTAGTTTTTAAGAATCTTGGTTTTTAAAATTTGGCAGATAAGTCCCCTCTATACAAGAACCTGTTTAGCCTAAAATTTGAAACAGGTTCTTGTTCTCTAAAATCTATTTTAAAAAATCTGTACAATTGGAAAAATAAGATAAGTCAACATTCAGGACCCTCTATGGAGACATAATTATATGCCTTACGACTCCAATCACTATCATTTTAAGAACCTGTTTGGGAATGATACAGGTTCTTACCCACGAATTGTTTCTGTACACTAAATCACGTGGTAGTCTTGATTTCAGAAAGATACAGTATTAAGAGAATTCGTCCAAGTTTTCATGACAAAATTGCTAAAGAATTGTGCGCTGACTGGTAGGCAAATGGTCTTCGAACACAAGAGAACAGAAAGGCAAATTTAAGTCCTGAGGCGCCAGCAAAAAATGTTTCTTAATAAGAGTTTTAAGCTTAAAAATCTTGACCTGATGTTTGTTTTAGGCATTCACTCTTGTTTTACTACTCGTCCTAAAAGTTGGGAGCCACTTTGATTTTTTTTTGTCAGAAACTGAAAAGTATGCCCATGTGACATTCTTCTTCAATGGTGGAGTAGAGAAACAGTTTGAAGGAGAAACCAGATTCATGGTACCTTCACCTAAAGTGGCAACATATGATTTGCAGCCTGAGATGAGTGCTCAGGGAGTTGGTGCAGAGGTGAGTCAAGGGTAACAGCTGGTTTCGCTACTTGCCTAGTTCGCTACCGTCATGTTCGTTCGCTACCAACATGCCGAATTCGCTACTGACTTTTCGCTGCCAAAAATTCAAAGTTTTCAAAGACTAAACGTGTAGTTAACATTTTCACGGTCTTCTAGAACCAAGAGTCAAGTAAAAAAATAAAATTCATGAATGTGAGTTCATTTAGAATGAGTCTTCTGCTGTCTGGTTTGAGTATTAAGCGTCAGGTCAATTATTCATTTCTGCTAAATAATTTGTACATAAAACTTTAGAATTGTTTATCCCTTGGCCCATTTATTTATGAAACACAACTATACAAAGGTAAAAATAGGAGATAGGAGATAGGTGGAGATACATGTATGCGATACATAGAAACTCTTAGCAATGACGCCTAACTTCGCACCTTCAACGTGTTGCTGTGAAAGAATTTTGTTCCTGCGAAAGGATTTCTTTTAAACAACTGATACCAATAAATACATAGCCTGCGAAAACAGCGGTCGCTCCTCGCTTCTCGCGAGGAAAGACAGCTGTATTCGCAGCTTGTTGTATCATACAAGGCAGGGGCACCCAACGACAATTTTCGGAAAAATATCTGTTCGGAAGACGAATTGAGAGCTAAAATTTTCGAAACATTTGTTGTAAAATTTCTTGCTTGCCTGCCTCTCCTAGGATTTTCGAACATCTAAAAAATGGTAAAATTGCCCATTTTCAACGGATTTTTACCCTAAAAAGGTCACCTAAAATTTTCGGGAGCCCTTTTTCTGGCTAAAATTTTCGAACAGGTAAGTTTTGATCCCTATAATTTTCGGATCACTAGACTTTCAGCTAGGAAATCCGAACAGATGAAAAATTTATAGGGGATAAAAATATGCCCATATCCACTGTTTAAATACTAAAACACGTTTAACAGTGCTATGTTTAAGTGGTTTTGAACTATCTTCTCGTTGGGTGCCTCTGACAAGGGGAATTGTCCCTGTACCATCTCCAATTTTGTCCGTGTTTTTACTATTAGTTTTTGTTTTAAGGTTTGTAAAGCTGTAAAGAGTGGCCAGTATCCATTTGTCATGTGCAATTTTGCCCCTCCTGACATGGTGGGACACACAGGGAAATATGAGCCAGCTATTAAAGGCTGTGAGGTAACAGGTGAGTCCTTCTCACTGGTATCAGATCGTTTCGCCCGAAGGTCGATTCGCTCGATGTGTATTTGTCGTTGTGCAATCCTGAGGAAAAGAACTAAGGGTGAACACAGCGACTGCACTTGTGGAATCCAAGCTTAACTATAAAATAACATCTCAAATAAGCATGTTCATCGTGTTCTTAAGTGTTGTATGTCATCGGGCGAATCGACTTTAATTCCAGGCGAAACAATCGCAAGTTAGTGTGGTTTTTTTTAGACTTTGAATCCTCTAAGCAACCTGTTAGGGGCACCTGAAAAGCTCCATCCCCCTCTCCTCATTACTTGACCCCTTTTTTTTTCTTTCTGCGTCACCCTCAACTGACTGAATTGCTGAAAATGGTCTGTTGAATAAAATCTTTTATTTATTTAAGTTCCGGCCCTGTTGATCAGATGTTATGGTGTCAGTCGTAGTATCCCGCCAACCCACCCTCACCCCTGGTCATGTAGCAGCTCTCCTAACCCTAAAAGTTAATTGGTTCGTTACCCTAACTGTAAAACAATGGAAAATATGATAAACAATGATGGGTGATTGTTTTCTGCGACCAGTCAGGAAACACCCTACGAGCAGCTCCTACATTACTGGGGCACCACTCACCAGCGCCAATATTATCTTGGTTGTCGTTCTCTCCGTAAACCCCATCCGTAGACGCCTTGACACCGGGAGCAGAGGAGTTATGTTCTACGTTGATTCCAGTAACGTTCTTAGAACGAATCACCTTCTTTCACCACAGAATGTGAGCGTGTTCGTTTGAAGCGTTTGATCGTGTTACAAGTCGGTTAATTTTCCTTTTTCGGTAGGAGCGATTGTCGCCCGAAGAGCGGGACCTTCGGAAAACTCCGAACGAGGTGCGAGTTGCCGAGAAGAAAAAAGAGAGAAGAAGGCTGTATTATCGGTTATCTGTTAGTCACTTTTGGTGATCAATCCGCGGTCATTGTTTCATGCGGTTTTCGGTAGCATAATGTATCACCCAACTTGAAACAAGATCCCTTGACGCTTCGAAAGAGCGCGTTTTCAAGGTGATTCTAGCCTGCAAGCAAGCTCTGGTCGCCCCGCTACCAGAGCGACCCGGAGAGCTAGCAGGCTAAGGTTATTCGCGCTGTGAATATGAAACTGCAATCAAGGTCGAACTACCCCTTTGCCCTACAACCAAGAGGGAGTTAAGAAGAATTGTGAATATGCCAACTGCTTCTGTAGGGGAGAATAGAAAGCGACGTGCTTTTTCATATTCTCGTCTCATTCAGTGGATTTTCCCTCGGCCATCCAGAGAAGACCAGAAAAGCCTCTGCATGCAGAGTAGAAGGAATAGGACAGGAGAGAGAAGTTTTTAAAGTCCTGTTTTGTTTGTCTTAGATAAGGAAATAGGTGAGATCTTCAAAACCTGTGAAGAGGAAGGTTATGTGTTAATGGTTACAGCAGATCATGGTAATGCTGAACAAATGTTTGGTGTGAATGGAGGTCCACATACAGCGCACACTACTAACCGGGGTGAGTAGACAGCCAATTTCTACGAGTTCAGCTCTTTAAGTAGTTAAAATCTATTAATCATACAGGCCTCGAGTCTTAATGCTATAGTAAATCAAAACTTAGACTCAGGATTTGTGGGTGAGCGAACATAATAGATATGGCGAGGACGAGGACGAGATTTTCTCAATATTCATTTTGCGATCGGGAGACGGTTTTAACCTCCTTCAATACAAATAACCGTGCTAACTTTTCTGCTGAAAAAAAAAGTGCAATAAAGCCTCCCAGTGTAAATATTTTCGAGAATACGCGAAAATTCTCTAAGTTGAATCTCGTACTCGAATTTAAAGGTCTCCATTAAGCGTATTTGGCGAAGACGACGCTTGCTGAAAGTGAGAACGTGAAAGCGCGTCAAAGGGTAAGGACTGAACGCGACTTCTGATGCTCAAATTGTCGTTCCGCCTTTGGTCATACTGGTTTAACTGCGCGCGCCGTCCGCCACATTGCTTTTACTTAATCTGCCCATTACGAGAGGGCGAAGAAACTGAAACACAAGGCTCCCTCTCCCCCTTCCACTGTTCAGGTGCCTTCTCTTCTGACCTCTAAGGAAGGCCCAATACTCAGGTTACAAAGTTTGGTCTAGTCAGAAAGCAATAGAACTGACTTGTTAAGTAAACATGCAAAGACCAGTCACGTCAAGGTCTTTGCGGACGAACAAGTAGGACGGTAACTTTTGAATTGCTTCGTGGCTTCTTGCAATATGATGTTATTTCATGCAAATTCAGATGCCCAGCTAGGGCATCGAATTATTATTATCAGTGATTATTTTCATTTTTTTAATTTTTTTTTTGCTTTTCTTGGCCACAGAAAGGAAATAACGAATGTCTGCTTGTGGCCTTAGTCTTTCCGCTGGTATCACTATACCTTATATTGTTTTCTCTTTGTGTTTGTTTTCAGTGCCCTTCGTTATGACCGGTGGACTCAAGTTTAAGGAAATCACTCACAATGCGGCGCTTTGTGATGTAGCGACTACTGTGTTAGATGTTATGGGTCTTCCAATTCCACAGGAAATGACTGGGCAGTCACTGCTTGCTAAATAGACAGTCACAGTCAAAGTCTTGTGAACAATGATTAAGCAACAACGACGGCGAGGACAGCGAAAACGTTTCTTGAAAAGTGAATTCGCGCTGTGTCAAACTTCATCATTTCCTGCTATTCTATCGAATTCTACCTCGTTTAATTTGTCAAATGTTGGCGAATTTTTCTGGAATTCATTTGTAAGGAGCTCTATCCAATTTCTGGATAATTTGTCAAATGTTGGCGAATTTTTCTGGAATTCAATTGTAAGGAGCTCTATCCAATTTCTGGAGAAAGAAAGAAAGGCGGAAAACCATTCCGTTTTGTTAACGTTTTCCGTAAAGCGTGAAGTTAGCAAGTTTGACGTTTAAGTCGTGAAACGACGGCAAGGAAATGTACAAAAAGCGTGATGCACGTGCAAAGTTGCCGTTCTATTGCTGTCTGCTTTTTTGCCGTTGTCGTTGTTGTTGCCGTTATCGTTGCTTAAGTTCCCTTGTATCTTTAACTTATTTTAACACATAACTAAGCAAGTGATTAGAGACTAATTTCTTTGCGTGTCTCATATATATTGTTTTTTCCAAGACTAAAAAATTTTATGCCGGTGGTATTAGAATAACTTCGAAAAGGAAGAACGTTTGCTCGGCAGCTTCATTTTGGGGCTAATTTTACCAGTGGTTGGAGATAAACTCACCGCAACCGGCGAGTAGTCCTGGGGACTCGTAAATGCCAGGAGCATTTTTGAAAGACTGAGTAAATAATATAAATCATACAGTAGAGTGAAACAAACAATCGAATTAAAAACCTACAATCAGATTAACAGACTACCAGTCATTTATCGTTGTACGTAAATACCTTTACGCGAACCTAGCCAGCGTCGCTGCTGGGATTCGTCGCACGAAATGTTACCAAAGACCAAAAAAGCACCGCGGAATGAAATTGTTTTGTTTTAAAACGGCGAGAAGACTGGAGATGTGTCAAGTTGGGACTACACCGGTCGCCACGCTTGGCAGCTAAGCACCCTGATCCCGCCAGCTAAGCGGGCTAGCGCGCAGTTTTCATTCTTCAAAAGCCACCTGAGTTTATTTACGTATTTGCCAGTGCCTGTCGTTACTTTTTTAAGACTCGGAGTGTTGGTTAACTCTCGGCTTGAAATCGCGTACTCGGGCATACTTCTTTAGGCTCTTAAATCTTGTACCAAGAGAACTGAAATAACCATGACCCACACGCTGCTGGTGAAAGCAGATGAAACAGCGGAGCTGGACCAACATTATAACGTCATTTTTTGTGATGTGCTCGTCTACGCTGAGAGGAAGTACGGCACGATAATATGTGACCAGTTCTTTTTTAAAAACCCTGATTGGCTGGGATGGATTCGAAACTCTTGCAAATTCCGTCCTTGCAAGGAGACGAAAAATGTATGAAGGAGCCAGTGACATAAATATCTGAACTAAGACAAAATCGTTACCATTCTTTATAAATACCCTGGGTGGCAGACGGATAACAATACCCTACTAGTCAGTAGGCTGGACCTCTACCAACTGAACTAGGCAGTACAGTGACCTTTCCAAGGAAAGGAGGGAGGGGACTGAAGGGACGTTTTGGTAGCGATGTGCCACTGAGGCCTTCAAAACCTTCACCCTCTTTACGACAATATCCGTTCACTCTACCCTGTTTATAATGTGACTACTCGAACCGGGGCACTTGGAAGAACACTATCCAATCACAAGGGTTTTTGAAAACAAAAGATTCAATATTTTTTTCAAACGGAACAATAGAATTCAAGGTTCAACTATGCAACCGTTGAAAACTATTAGACCGTTTGAACTTGCCTCACGTCTCAGGAAAAAAGCACTCAAATTTATGAATGTTATCGGTCCGTTTGCAAAAAAACTTGAGAATCTTTTGTTTTCAAAAAGAGTTGTGATTGGACAATCTTCCAAGTGCCCCGGTTCGAGCAGTCGCACTGTAAGACAAGACAATTTTTGTTGTGGTGTGAAATACATTGTATAAATGAGATAACCGTTTCAGGAACATATTCTTTGCTTTTTTAATTTGGAATATAAAAGAGCAAGTTGTCCACGCATCACCAAGGTTTATAACCTGTTCAAGGCATCCGGCCTAGAAAGATACTCTGTTCAAGACGTTAGATGGTGAAATTGCATACCTCGTTTAAAACTCAAGACCCTGAAAACCATACCTGTTTGGCGGTACATACCGAACAACGTTGAAAACAACGAAATAGTTGCCAACAAAACAAGATTTAAATATACTGATTTTGTTTATTGGAGATAATAAATGACTAAATAGCGTACTTTCGTAAAAGTACCTTAAATACAAGTTGTTATACCAAGCAAATGCATCTCTATATATTGAGTCATATATCTTGAGCGTATATGTGAAAATTAGGGATCCGTTTAACAGTTTGAACGCGGACAAACTTAAGGTGATGTTTAGCGCAACAAAGCGTTGCAACATTGTTACATTGTTTCGAATGGTTACAATAATGCTCCAGCATTGCAACGCTGTGTTGCGCTAAAAATCGTCTTTGCGAATCGCCTCGTGTAACATCACCTTTAGTCTGAAATGTCAGCCGTCTCTTCGCCAGCCCACTCCACGCCCATCTCAACGGCTGCACGTTGCGGGGTTGGGGCAAAGAAACCGCTGACGTTTCAGAGTAAGAAGCTGCATATTTTGCGAACACTTTGATCTTGTGATTTTGCAAAAGTTTGGCTGAAAAACAGAACAAAATTCTCTGCCACCAAAATTTTGCGATTCGCTGAACAAGAAAAAAGCAAAAATCGCAAAATCTGGTTGCTTCAAAAAAGAGTGGCCTTATGTGTGTAATATTGTACATTCTCAGGTATTAACGAGGTTACGAAAAATACACCACTGGAGTGTTGAGACAGCCGCGCCCCTTGAAATAACATGTAAATTTTTATATTCGATGCGTCAGAGTAACAGCATTTGTTTCCTGGTTTATTTGCTTGTTTGCTTGTTCGTTTTTTTTGCTGTCTATCATCAATCACCACTTGTATCGGTCAGGAACATTTTTCAGAAATTCCTCTTCTTCTGGGGTATTTTCCCTTCCTAGCGATTTGTTCCTTTGTGGATATCTTCCAAACTTGTCAATGACCTCCTGTAACAATAAACATCTACCATATTATTGAATAATCAGTCTGTTAACACACAGAATAAGATTCAGTTTTGCTTAAAAACTCGGCAACAAATGCACACAGCACAGGCTGTTCCCCCATATAGGGAGCTTAAGCAACAACGACGGCGACGGCTACGAAAACGTCACTAAAATAGTGAAGCCGCGCTGCTTCAAACTTTATCGCGCTTATTCCAACTCGTTCAATTCGTCAAATGTTGGCAAATTTTTTCTGGAGTTGAATTCTAAAAACTGTACCATTGTTAGGGAAAAGTCGTTGCCTTGTGCTAACGTCCTCCACAAAACGTGAAATTAGGCGTTTTTATGTCGTAGTCGTGCAGTGACGGCAAAGAAATGTACAAAAAAGCGTGATGCACGTTCAGAGTTGCTGTTTTGCCAATCGAAACCTCTTGCGTTTTTCCCGTTTTCGCCGTCGTCGTACCTTAAGCTCTAATTTGTCAAATATAGGCGATTTCTCCTGGAGTTGAATTCTTGAGGAATTTATTCAGTTTAAAAAAGAGAAAGGAAACTTCGTCGTCCTATGTTCACGTCCTCCATAAAACGTCGCGTTAGGTGGTTTCACGTTGTAGTCGTTCCATAAAAGCGTGTGCAGAGCTGTTGTTTTGCTCATAAAAACAATTGTTTTTTTCTTTCTTTTTTGAAATTGTCATTGTCTTCATCTTCGTGATGGTAAAGCTCCCTATTTCTAACTAATCATCGAAGCCGCGCGAAGGCCAAACCGTTTGCAAAACAATGTAATATAATGTATCTTAAGTTCAACTTAATTCTCTGAGAGGAAAGTGTAATGAGAAGGAGGTCGCAGTTTAGCATTTCTCTTTAAAAAAGAGATCTATGACTGATCCGCTTCGTAATTGGCTAAATGACGCTACGCCTGTTATAACCTACGATCAGGCGTTTTTTTTTTCGGGGAAGAGCCACGGGCAAAGTCCCTTTCCTCGCCTGCCAAAGAAGAAAGGAAGAAGGAGCAAATAAAATGAAGGCTGTTAACTGTACCTTGTGACGTGTAGCGAAATCAAGAACGCCTTTGCCCATTCCTTCAAATTCTGAACCCTTGGAGTCTTCCGCCAGCTTGGACGCTAATTTCACTGAGACCTCCTTTAAATAATTGTCAAAAATAGGCAGCAATATATTCAAATAAACTTAAAACAAATATTCGTGCGCCGGGCACAAGCGAATGGAAACGAATTCATCGCGGAAGTAACTTTCCATTTTGAGCAGCGAGCAAAGCGAACCGAGAGAGAACGCGCAAGTAAAGCCGCGCGCGTCCTTGCTCTCGCGCACGTCGCACTAGCCCGTGACTTCCCACGATAACCCTTAAAGCATTGCTCGCAGGCTACAAATATCTCCAGCCCATTATAAGATAGCTTAAGGGATATCGTGGGAGTCACGGACAAGTGCGACGCGCGCGGCATTTCCTCTCGCTCGCGCGTTCTCTCGCTTTGCTCGACACTCAAAATGAAAAGCTACTTTCGAGATGAATGGGTTGGGGTTAGGGTTACAGGAGATGCCCATATCACTCGGGTTTTGGGAATGGCGAAGCCGATATCACTGTGACACGAGTAGCTTGCATTGCTAGCAGGCTACAAATATCTCCAAATTGAATTCTGCAAAGCTGATCGTACTAAGTGAAATTAACTTTGCAAGACATCAACACAACACCAAAAGAACCAAAAACAGAGCGGGGTCGTAGCCGTAGACAGCTGTTTCGCTCTTTGGGGGCTCGTCAGTATGGCGCAACGAGCAGAGAGGCTCTGCTGTAAAATTCCCGCACACTCTGTTTTAGAGCCCTGACATTGAACTCAAACACTCACAGAATCACGCCATATCACGTGTCCCCGAGAGCGCAAGAGTCCAAGAAAATATAGGATGGACAAAACCAACCTTAGGAACAAGGCAAAACCAAGCAAAAATGAACAACATATAGGATCTACAAAAGACCTACGGCCGCAAAAAATAAGTAATAAATGAAGTTTAAAATACAAATAACTCCAGCGCTGTAGCTAGTATGAGGCCAACCGAGGCACTCGCCTCGGTAAAATTTTGACGAATTTCGCCGATCATTTTTATTTTACATAAGCGATCATCGGATATTTTTAACGCATCATGATATTACAAAGAATTCAGCAATTCAGTCAATATACTATGAAAAAATTACCATATCATCGATCCCAAGGGGCTACGTACGTTAACTCAAATTTTTTTTGAACAAATACTGATCAAAACCATTGGCGAGGTTAACGGTCACCCAGATTATGTAGCTTGTTTCTGATTATTGCTTTTTAAATTCCACTTAAATTAACTCGCAAAAAAGTTACCGAAAGGCCCAGAAAACGCTGCAAATCGCATTTGCGAGAGACTAAAGTTCAAAATTTCTCGGGGGGGGCATGCCCCCGAACCCCCCTAGCAACTCCCGCCTGCCTCGGTTGGCCGTTTGGTCTGGCTACGGCACTGAACTCCAGGTAGCAAAGGCTAAATGAACTTTAACCAAACGGGTATAAAAGTGTACTGTGGATATCTGTGTAACTTCTGGATGTAAAAAACACAACTTCGTAAATGATTCTGTGTACGCCCAGAAAAGCGATCTTCCTGACCTTAAAAAAAGTATGGGGTTTGCTCAGATGTAGTGTCCATAAGCTATGTGTTGCAATTACTACCTTTCAAAAACATTCAGTGGCAACTGCAAGTATGAGGTTTTCATCACTTTTACGTCAACTGCCTTGAAACTATTTTCTTATTAATAGGGACCTAGAGACTCCAAGACGAGGACGACTACCAATACGATATTTTCTTAATACTAAGTAGTGCACGTGCGTGAACCAGCGTTTGAAGTTTTTTTCATTTTCCTATCAGGAGAGGGTTTAACCTCCTTCAATAAAAATATCCGCGCTAACTTTTCTAGTGCAAAAAAGTACAAAGAAGCTTTCCAGGTAACCTCGTTACCAGGACTTTTTCCCTAAGAAAATGGGAGGGAAAATGCCCTGGAAACGAGGTTGGCGTTCCGGAGTGTCAATTTCAGTCTAGGGATACGCGATAAATCTCGCCCTCGAATCTAAAGGTCTCTAACAACCTATGTTCATTAACTTTAAGTAACCAATTTCTACCGGAATCTATTGACCGTAAAATGACAAAAACTGCCCATCATTCTTTTTATTAACCGTGCTACTCTATCATGTACCCCTATCCCTCCCAACGCTCCCCAGCATTACATGTAACTTTTAAGGTCTGATAATACCTGATCTTCCAAATTTTCGCTGTGTAAAAATGGCATGTTCATAAAGAATCGTTCAGCATATGAATGATCCAAATGATTGTGAGTTTCTCCTTCAATAAACTACAACAAGAATACAAAAAAACAACAACAAATTTTTAAAAACAACAACAAATTTTATTGAAAATTGGAAAAAAATTAATAACTAATTACATTACTTTCCCACCCGCAAATAGCTTATGAACTAATCGAGGCGGGGGGAGCTGAAGACATATTACAAAACAAGAATTATATATAGATGGACTAAATAACAGTGAAGACACTACAATACAGTAAATAGAGTTTAAACTAACATAAAACAAAAAACAAAAAACAAGGCATGTACATAACGATTACTCAGGCATAATGTGACACACGAAACAAGATAACAAAACAAATAGAAAAAAGCAGAAGGAACACTTAAACATCAGAAATTTACGAAATGTTACGCGGAGCACTTAAACACGCGGCCGTCCATCTTAACCACATCACGTGGAAAAAATTACTAGACAGTTAAGTGCCGTTGAATTACTCCCATAAAACTCTAGTTCCGCATTCCAGGAAACTGACCATATAAAGGGAAACGAGATTTATATAGAGAGAGTACGCCGGTTATGACATAACCCATAAAATGGCCTTAAATTGGCTCACAAACCCCCCTGGGGAGGGAGGGGTTACTACGTATTAGTGGCCTATAAGGAGAGGCTCCGCCCGAAAGGGGTACCTTTTGCAGACTTCAGGTATATTAGAGGCTAGGGATTTTACTCATTGAAGTATATGAAAGGGTAGGGGAATCTGTCATTTGGGTCTGTGAAAGGGCCCAAAGGGCGAGCAGATGAGTTTTATGGCTTTATAAAGTCAGGAAAACGTTCTATATATTTGTGATTGATTCCTATTTAAATGACAATGCATTTACAGCAGTTAAAAGGGATGCAAAGTTCTGAAAGAAGTACATTACGTGAAAGGGGTACCATTTGTCAATAGAAGGTATACGAAAGAGGTACCTTTTTCGTGAAAAATGGTATATAAATTTATTAAAGGGGTAAGGGGTTGGACCTTGGGTGGACCCTCCCCATACAAAAATTTGTTGAGTAACCCCCTGGGTCACGAACCACAAAATAAAGAAGAAACACACAACTTAAGTGAACTGGTTAGACAATTTTTAGCTAAATCCATTCTCATTCATAGGTTACTGAAACAATCGTCTTTTCCTCCACATGAGTCCTTATAATTCCTTATATCACGCAACAGTGATAATGTTCATATTTTGAGCTTGGGCCACCTGTGGTCAGCCCGCAGGGGAAGGGGGGAGAGATTGTAGAGGGAAGATTGACAAGTTTGTTAAAAGCATGCAAAAAACCAGTAAAAGATGGCTGCCACCATACAACTCTTTGACATCTTTTAGGGGCACTTCTCAAGCACCCAACCCATAGATGACAGGAACTTTTTATTTGGCGCTTATTGTTTTATTTGTTGGTTGGTTTACTTTTCTGTGCAGTATTGGTGACCATTTGCAACTTAAGAAACGATAAGGTACTTGGGCTGAGTTAACTTTTCCAAACACTTCTAGGGTCATTACTGGGAACACACCGGTCAGCTATTGGCCGAATTGTTTTTTACTCTCCACCGCAGAAGTCTTTGCAAAAGTTAACTCGACCTAGTCTCCCTCTCATTTCTGAAGTGGCAAAGTCTTTTTTTCAAAATGTTTGGATGACTTGTAATGTATTATTTTAAGTGTTGACAAAAAAACAAAATGAACTCACCTTTCTAGCAACAGAGAGAGCCCTACTATCTCCTGCAAAAGCTTTAGCAGTGTTCTGTTTAAAAGCATAGGCACATCAGCCATTTGATAATACAACTTGAACATTTTGAAACAGAGCTTACAACTTTAATGCACTTAACCATCTTTTTTGTAATCTGCAGTCAAATGACTTACATACTTACTCTATAAATATTTCTCGTAAATTGATCAGTTAGTATGATCAAAGCTAATGATGGCCTAGGTTCACTTTCCCATTCCTTTAAATTTCCTTGGATGGCTTCGTCAACCTGAAATAAATAATATGAATAAAGCGTGGGTCTTAGCTGGCACAAGTGTCTTGTAGTTTAGTGGTAGAACATCATACACATGTGGGTTCGACTCCTATTGGGAATACTCGAATACTTGTATTTTCTTCTGAGCGCTTGTTTCACTGACTGAAAAAACAGCTTTGTCCTGTATTAATCAGGCCCCAGTTGTTCAAAAGGTGGATAGCGCTATCCATCTGATAAATCTTTGTACAGTGGATAACACACTGATTAGGGGTAAACGCTCATTTTACTGACTGGGGTTAAGCACTCTTTTTATGATTTAAGGTTAAGCGCTGTTTAGGGTTAAAAACGTTTTTTACGGATATTTAGGGTTAAGCGCTTTGGGCATTAAACAATCATTTACAATGGTTTGCTTTCGGTTATTTTTTTCATATTACTGCTTTTTCTATTTTTTTCTATTTTTCTTTCACATGGCTTGCATGGCTCACATGGCTTGCTGGCTCGTAACACTTATCTGCTGGATAGTGATTTATCTGGGTGAATAGGGCTATCCAATGTTTGAATAACTGGAGCCAGGATTAAAATTCACTATCAAGGTTCTATCATATTGTGCAAAACCACACATAGACTAAGTTCCAGTCCTAGCATTATGCAGGATGTTTGTCAAAAGAACCTTGTTTAGTGGCTCCCACAAGTCTCCTGTAGCTCAAGTGCTAGAGCATCAGGACAAGTAACCAGAACTTAGGTCAATGGGTTCAACTCCTACGGGAAGTACTCAGAATTTTTCTTCTGAGCTTTCAGTATTGCAAATTTTTTCAAAGAATGTAACTTAGATCTTATTTTGTTTACTTTCATACAGCCTCGTATAAAATTCAAATTCCAACGAACTCCAATATAGAGTCTGGGCTGCCTGTGATAGATCAAGCTTGTTATAAGCTTGGTCATATATCTTCTTACTCAGTTTTCCTATCACTTTAAAACCAAAGACAGAAATGTTGATAGTGTGTAGCATAATTTAACTGGAAGTAAAGTATGTCATACCTTGCACTCACCTAGACAGAGCTAGGTGATCTCAAGCTGGGGTACCACAAAATGAAGTTTTCAGAATCGTTTGTTTAATTTCTAGCTAACAAATCAGACTAGATAAATGACCCATGCAATTTTGACCTAGGTTTTGAGTAACAAGTCTGCCCGCCAAGATACCAAGATCCTTGCTTAAAACTCTGATCTTACTAGGACTTTGCAGCAGAAACACAAACAACATGCCGTTGTTAAGCCATTGGCCCTGTTCCCTCATCCCTCCATGTCAATTAGAAAAGGGTTCTTAAAGTGCCCACAGTACTGTTTAAAAAAGAGAAGGGGTTGTAGCCCCCAATGATGTTGCTTACATAATTCATTCTTCTAGGAAGGGAATCAGAGACCGACAGCAATAAATGGTGAAGTTGTTGTAGTGCCCCCTTCTAACCTGGTCAGTGAGGCTCACAGGTTACTCCAAACACTCCAAACAAGAGTTAGACCCTGATTTTTTAAGCATTAACTTCAAATAAAAAATATCTTACCTTGCATTTTTTGCTTTAGGATTTTTTTAGGTTAATAAGGGAGTAAGAGAGGAGAAAATTGACTCACCAAGGATCCAAACTTTTCTTTAATTTCCTCATCCACTTGTGGACCTCCACCAAACCACTTGCTTGGATCTCCCGAACTAAACCAATAATCTAATACACTTTGCCACATGTCTGAATGTTGCCCAGAAGACATGTTTCTTGAAATTATTACTCGAACTGTACGTAGGGGTAAACTGCTGCATTGAATAACAATACACATTATTGGGATCATTTAGGAGGGGGACATTGGGGGGTACCCAATACCGTGATACCATAGGAAAAATTGGTAAATACCAAAACACCGTGCCAAAAATCCCCGAAATACCGATACCGCATTTATGATCGGTAACGTTTACTTAAAGCTGTATCCATTTCGCGTGTTTGTTTACCTTTAACATGTATGCACCAGAAATAACCCCCAGGTATTGAGAGAAAACGTGAGGAGACCTTGATTGGTAGAATGATCGAGAAAGCCCGGTCATTGGATGCCCGTCCAATTTTGTCATTTACCATCAAGTCTAAAGTCTTAAAATATCAACTTTTATTAACCTGTTTACCTTACTGTTGTTCGTGTTGCACATTGTATTGACCCGTATTAGACAGGAGAGCGCAAATAAATGGTACTGCAATACCATGAAGGATCTTCTTTACCAAATACCATTAACCAAAAGGATGAGAAACTGTATACCGCAGGGCTAGATGATACCGCAATACTACACATTAATATCAAATTACCTACATACCGCTTGAAAACAAGCTCAATACCGCAATACCGTGAATCCCCATGTCCCCCTCATTTAGATTCAGGTTCGGTGAACAAACATCAACACTATTATTAACTGTGATGGAAATGAGGCTGGAGTTGCAGACCTTGTTTTCAATGATACAACCCTCCTTGCTTTCCTATGTAAATCATGCTGTTCTTAGGCTAACTAGAATTTTTCAAGCATAATTTTCATAAGAAAACAAAGCAGGTTTAATGTATCAAAACAAGATCAAACCCTTCGAAGGCTAGGGTACCACGTAATTAATTAAATAAGCCCACAACTGTATTAAAATGGTCTATTAACACGATTTTTAAGATTATTCTACCCATTCAATGATCCACTTCAAATCTGTGTTTGCATTCAGGTAAACTCAGTAAGCTTAAAAGTAATATGCTTACACTTGGAGCAGGATTATCACTTAAGCTATCTGAGCTATTAAATTGAGTGTTGAGTTAATGTTGAATCTCTGCTGTGTTTGAGAGACGCTTTTCAGATTTTCTACTTCTTGGATTTAAGAAAGTGGCTACTAAACTATAAAAGAGGTCCCTGGTCCAAGTTGATAGATTCAGATTAAGGTAAAAGGAAAGCACCTACCGATTCCTAAAGTTCAAAAAGCCTTTTCTAAACGGAGTCACCGCTATTCTCTGACCAACCACACAAGTCATTATTACCTAAAGATTGTATTGGCGTGGCTTGACATGACATTGTGTGCGTGACACCCAGGGATCCTATCGCGCCCCACTGCTCACGCAATACTCGACTGGTAAAGCGCACTCGCCGATGATCGCAGCAATCTTAAGGAAGTTTTACCCAGAAAGGAAATACCTACAGAGAGCTTCAAGCCCGAGGTGTTGATGAAATTTCCGTATTTAAGGTGAGAACCTAGATCAGAACTTCATCTTCTGACTGCCCGCCAAAGTAGACGAATGACCCGCCTTCAAAAGGGTTTATATAAGAAACTGGAGCAAACAGTGATGTATTAGAGTCGTTATTTTTCTTCTTTCATACGAAAATCGGACATTCGTACAAGCATATAAAACCTGAACTATAAATATTGTCATTGAAGGTTTTTATCTCAAATTGTGGGGCGTATTGTTTGCTTTTATATCTCTTCCGACTTCAAATGCAAGGTCGAACAACAAGCCGCTTCTGCCTGAAAAAAAGACTGGTCTGTAGAAGCCTTCATTCAATAATTGCTTTTTATTTAAGTCCAATTTTTCATGACGCTTTTCGTCGATTTTTCTAATCGAAGGAAGGCAATAATAGATTTAATAAATTTTCGGCGTGGGAGATGCATATGTTAATATATTCATGGCTTCATGTCGAGCCGTGACAGCGAGACATTTGTATTTCAGCAGGTTCAAATAGTCAGGTTAATAGTTAATTTTTAACTCCAAACTTTCAAACATTTTAAAAAACAGCAGAGTATGCTTTTCAGTTTTTCGATTTTTTTTATATTTTGTTCGATACTGCCGGCGCTCGCAATGACTATTACGTCTTTAGCTTCTTTCCGAAAACTATAAACGATTGGTACCTAATCCCCACTACTATTAGAACGGTAAGTTATTCAAAGTTTTGTGATTACCGTAGCTATAATTCTAAGTTTATCTTACACTACTTTTTTTCGACTTCTCTTTTTAACTATTATTAATCTCTTTTCGATGCGAAAAAAGCGTTAAAGAGAAAGTGACCAGAAAAAGAATAAGCTTATACGGCTTTGCAACTTTAGTCTCTCAGAAAACTACAACTATCAACAGCCCGTATTTTTCTTCTAGGTCTTTCATCCGTTTGCTTAAAACTTAGGAGAGTTTTAATCTGCAGAGTCATCTTTGATTTTGGCAAATTTTGGCACTGTGCTGGCGTCATTATTAGAAATTTACAAACGTATCCCTTAAAGAAATATATTCTTTATTTTCAGTATAAGTGGTATGCATAAAATGTCCTTCATCATCGTTCTTTTTATTAAGTGCAAATAAGATAAAGAGCACGAGAGAGAATGAGCCCATTCTCTCTTGATGCAAACTTCTTTTTGTTGTTGTTATTTGTTTGGTTTTTTGTCAGTCAAAAAGTTGTTTGTTTTAGCATGCTAGAATCTTTGAAAGGGCGCAGTTTAATGTTTCCAGGTGGTTTATTCGCGAGCCGTCTGTAAATATTGTAATTACTCCTTACAAATTTACGCCTGACCTTCCGTTTGATCTATGGTAACCAATGTAAAAAACTCCTGTTGAGCATCTTGGAATAACAATGAGCGATATGACAGACCTAGATACATTCACTGACTGTAAGTAAGGCCCAGTTCAAACGTCGATCTTTTCATGTACCAAACCTAATCCTTTTTAATTAAGTCCATGAAGGCCAGACGTTTGGATGAATTAAGTCGTACGTGGCGAATTTTGGTCGACCTATGAATTTATTAAGATCGAGTGGCCCACATGGGAATTTCGACAGTGGAGCATTGAACATTGTGAAAATGAATTGAGTCCGATTAATTAAGTTCGACGTTTGAACTGGGCCTAAATGTCGCGAGAAGAATAGCCACTTCTCCCAATGTTAAAAAATGTCACGTATTTGATTGTCTAGTTTGCCTTTTTCAGAAAAACAGCACAATGTCGTACAAGGAAGCAAATGATGTGTTGAACTACTGGTTCGGAGCGGGAGACCCTTCCAAGAGGCCCAAATGGTTCGGAGGTGGAGAAGAGACGACTGAGGAAATCAGAAACAAATTTGGAGCACTAGTACGTAATTAAAAGTAGCTAGTCCATAAGGTGCTACCCAAAACTTTGAGCTTACTATGAAACTTTTGCATGCTTGAACAAGGCTGAGGTTTGTATTTCTGCGGATCGCCCCTCGATCGGTGCTTCTCTATATAGACAAAAGTCGCTCGGCAACAACTCAATTAGACACTTAATCTCGCACTTAATCGACTGTTTCGCGACGCCTCCACTGCCTTCCCTGTGAAATGACGTCTGAGGAAGAATTGCAGAGATTACATACTGATGACGTGTCACTAGCCAGGTCTGACTGGTTGAAGGAAATTCCCTACGCGGCATAACCAATCAGAAGTATTACCCAGGTGTGGGTAATGACACGTGATCAGTATGGAATTTCCGCGCTCGTTTCTCAGACGTCATTTCGCGGGGAAACCAGTGGTAGTGTCGCCAAATGTCGGCTGTTTTCTCAGGATATTCATAGTTCCGGATTGAAAATGAGATAATGACGATTGAATGCCTTGCGTCCTCTTGACGATGGAGACTACGAACTCATTGCAGATTTAACAACGCTTCAGTGTACGGTTCTGGCGGCGGATTAGCTTTGCTCCAAACGCAAATTTCCCAAAAAGTCTTTACGTTATATACAGTTTCCGAAGAGAAAGTAGTAGTTTTATTTTGTCTTGGCCCTACTCATGAAACCCACGCGAATACGAACGCCCGTAACTATAATGTAGCAAGACAAGCTGCCATGGCCATATGCTTAATATTAGCACTTTTAACGAACAGGAAGTAGTTATTTTGTCTATTAGAATTCAAACACAAAGAAATTGTTCAACCTACAGGCTGGTATTAGCTTCCTGGCAAATCTTTAGGAGGTTCTCGTTGTTCGTCAGTTAATTGTTGTCATTTATTCAAAGCTATTCTTTGTTCATTTCTGATTGGCTTTAATCCCCTGGCTGATTCTCTATAACCAACTGATGCTGACCAAATTAGATGCGTAGATTAGACCATCATTAACTTCAGTCACTCTGTCGTCAGTGGTTGTATCATGAAATATATGATTTTTGACGTCATGAAAGACAGCGGAGGAATGTTATCCACTCCTGTCTTGATCTGCATAATTCTTCATATCACACTCAGCCTCAATCCATAATCGTCAGCTTTTGATACCATTTAAATCTAGTGGCATTTTTATACGTTTTGTAGGTAGAGAAAGCGAGAAACGATGAACTGGCACACTGGGAGAATGATCCTAAGGCTACACTGGCGTTAATCCTCTTGCAAGATCAATTCATGCGCAGCCTTTACAAGGTTAGAACAAGCTAAGGTGAAGATAATTAATGATTTTATAATTCCAAAATGCGTGTCGCCTACTAGAGATGCTCTTGAAAGCTTCCGCAGAGCTAGTCTCCCACGTCAAACAACGCTCCTCCCTAAATTATCCTTTCGAAACAAAGAACGGCTGTGTCTTGCCCTCTGTAAGGGAATCCGCATTCCGAAATCCGGCAGATTTTTGCTTGTGGAATTGAGAATCTTGAAAAGCTTTGCACGTGGAATCCGGAATCCTTGCCCCGGTTGTTCAAAAGTTGGATAGCGCTATCCACCGGGTAAATTGCGATCCAGCGGATAGGTATTATGAAATCCAATTGCTATCCACCCTTTGAACAACTGGACCGTGGGCTTTAGAATCCGGAATACAGCTCATGAAATCCAGAATCCCACGAATGATTGGAATTCAGTTAAGTTCCACTGATAAAGAATCCAGCATCTGGAATCCAGGCCAGAATCCAAAACTGTCTTGGATTGCTTTACATAGGGCGCTGCGATAGGAGATTACTGGAGGACAAGTACAGCTTCTTTTTCAGGTTGTGGTCTTTTATACTAGGTACAAGGGGACGAACTTTGCAAATCAACTTGTCAACTACTTAAGCAAGCCCTCGTACAAGTGGCATTAAATTTTTGATGATAATACCCCTAACATTCTTTTTCTTCCTGAGGTTAACCGCTATTGGTTCTAACTTAATTGTAGGGCCGTCCTGAATTTACCTGCAAAGATCCATACTGTGTAAAGCTTGCACGGAAGGTAAATTAAATTCAGCTGGGTCCTAATTTATTTTTGAATAGGTATGAACTCCTCATCTGCGTTTCACGCGCCAGCGAAACTGCACTTCTCCCGCAACAGTTCAAACTTCTGCCATTCTTTGAACTAGCATACGACGACTTCTACGTGAAGTCTTGACTTACACACAGTCGACTTTTGTTAGCGACGAAGTCGCGAGAGTGAGCGTGAAGTTCCCCTCCTGAGCACTGACCCAACCAACACGGACTTTTTAGGGCTAAAGTCTAACTTGAGTCAGGCAAGGATCATATATTTCCTTCTGATCTCAGAATTCTGGCAATTGCAATTGCAATGGCGATTGGTTTGAAGTTGTTTAAAGGCATTGCATTTACTAAATTAAAAGCTTTGAATAATGAAGAAATCATCTTACCGGACGTTTTCTTGTGCTTACCTTGCAATCCGCTATATTTTGCTTACTTCCATTTTTTTTTTATTTGTTTCTCCGAGTTTCTTGTGCGGATTGGCCAGGTTAGACAAATCACATCGATCACTTTAATTTGATTTTTGTGTTGATACTACATATTGGAAACGGTCTCCGGCGTAACTAATCATACCTGTTTTTTTTTTGGCTCTGGCTCTTTTTCCTTTTTAAAGTTCATGCAACGGGAGAGTCACGATCACTTAAAGTTTAGTGCGGCTGGACGAGCTTTCCTGTACCTTCCCTTTGAACACAGCGAGGATAGAGAATGTCAGGTATGACCTACTTTAGCAGTGACATTTTTGTGTCAATTTAGTACTTTAGCAGTGCATTCGTGAAACTGCATTCTCTCACTAACCTGTTTTGAAGATATTTATCGGTATTTAAATGGTATAATTTCTCCTCTTATGGCATGTTCGGGCACGCTAAGGTGGCACTATCCTCAAGCCTTAGACTATAAGTCTTACTCTTCAGTGCTCGCTACATTCTTGTATATATGTATTCCTTTTGAGATGATGAATATATGAATTTATTATATTTGAACCGCGGAATGCCTTTGTCTTGTTATCCTAGCTCTCAGTAAGTTGCGCTCACTCGATGTTGGTTACATTTTGCCCATCCCCTCGTTCGGCCTTGTTGTTGAACTATCCGCCCGCAAAGTGTTGTAACAAAGCACAAGACTAACAAGACTTTTGCAGTCTTTGTAACTGTCTCAGATCAGATGATAATAGTCGACTCATTCACTTGTATACGTTGTACCTGTGCGTTGATAACTTGCGCTATCGTTGACTGAACTGTTCTAGCCGCCACTTTGACTTGAACCGCTGAATAACGTCTTAGTATTCTCTCGTACACTCGCCTCGTTTGCAGTTTCTATAGCCTGTTCTATGCGTTCAGATAGAGGAGGGTGGCGCGAAATGGAGGACTCTGCAGGCAAAACAGCGGAAGAACAGAAGAGGGAGGAAGGAGAGCACGTTTAATCGTTCGTCCTCTCTCTCCTCCAGGTCTACTCAAGATCCGACTGACCTCACTGGTTTCGCCTTTTCTCTCCCTGCTCCAGTCCCTCACTTTTCTTTGCGCATCCACATTATCTGATCGTCTGGAAAAGGCTACAGTTTCTTATGTTCAAAAATGTTTTTTGTTTTTTTTTAACTTTTCTATTATTGTTCTCAATTTCAGTTCATTAATAGAGTGATTTTACTTAGCCTTCAAATAGATAGTAGACTACTACGCTCTATTACACTCTAATTTCACTGTTTTCTTTTGTTTATTTGTATATTCTTTTGTTTCCTTTTTGTTTATCTGGCAATGATTTTTAGATACTGTTTCATTGGTTAAGTAAAATCTCTCCATCTAGCGTTTATTGTCTTTATTATTATATTTTATGTAGGAGTTAAGCGTTAAGCTTTACGCACAGTTGGAAGAAGACACTAAAGGCACAGACCACGAGACTTACGGAAAGCAGTGGTATACGTTTGCATGTCTCCATAAGGTGTGTATGGTGCTGGGCTCGGTTGTTCAAAAGCTGGATAGCAATGGTTCTAGCCGCCATGGGATAAATCGCTATCTAGAAAAGTAAATGTTTATAGATTAAGTGCATTATGTTGATCCAAGCTGATCCTGATTACAAGCGAGTAAGAAATCCAGGTCGAACGGAGCGAGATTCGAAGCCGGGACCTCTCGGCCACGCTGCCTGTCAATTGCGTCAACCAGTGGACAACATCATCCAACCTTTGAGCAACTGGATCCAGGTCTCTTAATTTCACTGAGAAAGTAAATGGCGGATTTAAACATTCAACTCAACACTAGAGAGAAAAGTAGTGATAAGAGGGGTTCAGATTGACAATTCTGACTGCATACTTATTTATGTACACTCTTTTATATATGTATAAGAATGTTTTTCTTCCGGCTTTGGCTGAACATTCTTATTTTTTTGCCTATTTTATGCTGAGAATATTCTTGTATGGCTTATATGACAATTCCGTTTTAGAATATAATTGGGGTATCAACCATAGTTAGCGCAGGTTTCTTTCGTTTTCGGTTGGCTAGTTTTGCCGTTTAGAGAAAGGAATAAGTTAAAAAATATATCATTTTATTGTATTTATAGATTTTCAAGTCACAAAATTATATCCGGCTTTTCTGTCAAAATCTTAGCCTGGGGTTTATTCTTAAGATATTCTTTAAGGTTTGCAAATTTCAGCCTCGATTCAAATATATTATTATCATTATACTACTACATGAAAAATTACTGCAATTTGATTGGCTTAGAGCGGTGGTATTTCAGCTTAATACCTACATGTGAAAATTACAAACCTTTTGAGGGTAGTAGTATAAACAAATAATAGCACGATTTGTACGTGATATTTGGCATAAATATCACTCGTGATATTTCAAAATTGTCTCAACTTTCAGTCGCCTAACGGTTCGTGAAATTACGTATAACAATTTCGAAATATCACTCGTGGTATTTATGCCAAATATCACTACAAATCATGCTATTACCTATACAAAGAGTGTAGCAGGCTAAATTTAATTAGAGTGTCTATTTTATATAACCGATTATAGCTAAGTTTTATACTACCGTTATTCGTTCTCCCCGTGTTTGACGGGTGTTACAGGAGTAATGAAAGCAAAGATTAGTTTTATATAGAAATTGAAATCAGAGCACAAGTGATAAGCGGGTCGCTGGGTTTGTTTATTTCCTGCACTGAACAAAGTTTTTTCCACAATAATGTGCATGATAAATTATATAAATCATCGTGAAATTTAGTCATTTCGCTGGTGGTGTCTTTTACCTTCTTCAGGAGGTAGTCGACCAATTTGGACGTTTTCCCCAAAGAAACAAAGTTCTGGGCAGAGAGAACACTCCCGAAGAGGAAGATTGGCTGAATAACATGCCGGATCGTTTCAAATGGTAAACAAGAGCAAGTCTAGGAGCAACCAAGATCTGTGTATCATAGTTAGATTTGACTGTTGTAAAGTACGCTATCCTCGTGCTGTTCAAGTGAAGAACTCAGTTAGTTGTTTGTGTCTTTCAAGAAAACTTAAAGGATACTTTATTTATTAAACACATGAGAAACGATTATGATCTAAGCTAAATCATACGCGCAGCCCTAGGAGGACTAGTAGTAGCAGATTGTTCCTTCCCGGTTTTAAGCATTCTTCTGAATAATTAATCCCCTCTCAGGAATTTTATTGCTAAACTAAACTATCATTCTTGAATGAAAATTGCCGCACTGACTTTTCGAGACTTTCATATTCCGTTTTTCACACCAGGTTATTCTGTCCTCTGCTGCGTTCGGTACATTATTTGAATTTTCCACTAATTCTTCGGCCAGCCAGCACGTTTATTTTCAAGTACATCACTCACATCACTATCACATCAGTCAAACTAAAAAATATGGAAATAATATCTCGTGTGAACTCAAACCCCCAACCTAATATCAATTTTGAAGGTTCTGACGACCTCGTTATTATACCCCTAATGGTCTTAAATGTGGACCCCTGATACACTTCTTGGTGCCTAGCCTGTCAAATGAACAGGGACTGATATTTGTAGTGTACTCTATTAATTATCCAATGGTTGGGTGTCACTTGAGAATAAAACACAGGCGGTAACAACAACTGACGTTTTATTTGCCCTCTTGTAGCTAAGGTAATTTATGTTAATGATTAAGAACACACTCGAAACAGAGACTGAAAGGTGAATTCACAGCAGCAATGTCTCTAACTCGCCCCAGTTGTCTCCCTCTCCGTCCTTCCCATGTAACCCTGCGCGCCAATTGTAGAGGTGACTGAGATGACTGGGGAGAAATCAGGCCCTGACTCGTCCCCAGTCGTCTCTCACCTCTCCATATTGGTGCGCAGGGTTACATGGGAAGGAGGGAGAGGCTATATCTCACTGTATGAGGAGGATACTATGATGTAGCTTGCGACTAAGCTCTCCATTTCATGGGCGGAGTCGAGAGACCAGCACGCGAAACTCGCGCGTCCTCTCGCGGCTCGCTGGCTAACTATATTACAGCTCTAACTTTACCCTATGATAGTATACAAATCATAGAGAAGGATCTACAAATTGACTGTTTCACGTAAACGTTTTAATCTATATCAGTGTTATCACTCTTGATACACTCCAAATACTAAAGCCACTGCGAATAGTGAGTTATTGATGAAGCTGCACTCCGCGAAGTTATCGTTTTTATCATCCCAGCAGCACATGCTTCCGACCCTAATGCTCTGACCCATTTTCGGACCAATGTGCGTAACACACACGATCTTGTATCGATCGAATCCAAGAAGCTTGACCTGGGACCTGACTTCATCTGAAATTTGTAGAGTAAGATCACGGCAAATCTTCGGATCGTATCTGACACTGGCGAGTCGGTTGATCAGCACGTCCTCTGCAATCCTTTTTACCGCAGCTGTAAAGGATGAGAAACAAATTATACGCTACTTTTTCAGCCTATTTTGTCAGGTATAGAACTTAATTGTGGTCGTTTCGCCTGAACGTCAATTCGCCCCAAAGTTGTTTCCCCCAGACCTAAGTCGATCAGCCGGATAACAAAGAACACCCTACAACACAGCTTATCGGAGATGTTTGTAGTTAAGATTACTTTTATCAGGCTTACGTCAACGTGAAACAACTTCGGGCGAATTGACGTTCGAGCGTAACGACCTGTTACCATATCACTCACTGAATTCAGTGATGCGAGGTTCGAATTGGGAAAACATTACTCTAGTTCTTTTATGTTCGCAAGTTTTTGGCTTAGTGGCACAAGTCTTTGATCAAGTACTAGCTACAAATAAATGCACTAGCTACAAATAAATCCCAACAAATGGCATTTCTAGATCTTTTGTAAGAAAAAGAGGTTAATTAGATATAAGTTTGAAAAATCATCACTTTTTTTGGTCTCTAATGTTTTGTTTCAGGTTTTGCCCCCAATTTTCTTCCCCAAGAATTTGACTCATCTTATTTGAATGGCTTTTCGATTTCTATTTTAGCGAGATTTTAAGGAACTCTTGCGAATTAAAAGTCAACCAATATAATCCACTTCACACTCCTTATTAATTACCATTACTCAAGCTAATATCAACCCAAAAAGCAAATAATTAAAGCCGATGTTTATATGCAATTTCACAAACAAGATAAAGTATAGGTAAGTTAATAAAAAAACAAACCAGGTGAGAATTTCTTCTGTGGGTCTGGTGCAACTCGATAAGTGTTTTCCAACACAATTCCTTCCGTATGGCTTTCCTGTTGTTGCTCGAGTTCTTCCAAGAATTCATCTTCGCGAAGCGTGCTTCCACTCTTTAATCTAACGCCTTCTTGTCCTTGTTGTTGAAGTGGTGCTTGCGGCGATTTCTTTACTAAAAAACTTCGAGTTGATGCCAACGGAAGACTAGTTTTTCGAACTTTAGTTCTGCCTGGCAAGCTTAGAAGGGCGTCCGCCATTACACTGTGTTTAGTTCTCCAACGTGAAAAGTCAAGGAAGAAACTTTTTATACCGATCGATATTAACTTGTGGCCTTTGCCTTGACCAGAAATATTTATCTTCAAAACTTGTCGCCGAATCTCTGGATTCTTTTGAGGTTTAAAACAATACTGTTTTGAATAAAGAAACAAAAGAATTCGTGAAGGAAGTCGAGCTTCAGATCTTCATACGACCTCGCAGCTAATGATCCAGAAACGCAAAGTGCTTTTGTTTGTTCGAAAAAAGCTATCGAAGCAATTGTTAATATTCTATAGTTGTCTCCGGGGAAATTAAGTTTGAACATCGGTTTTCGATAGATTACGCCGACAATTAACGCCTTCAATATTGCTAAATCTCTGAAACAGATTATTAAGTGAATAAAACAATGTTGAACAGATTAAATGTGAAGGAAATGAACTTTAATAAACGGTTCCGAAAAAATATGTATTTACAAAGAAGCAAATGAAATGAGTAATTAAAGAAAATTAATTGTTCTGTAAGCGTCGACCGAGTAAAATCGATAAAATCACGAAAAAATTGTCTTAATGAAAGTCGGGCCGAGAGATTTCATTTCACTTATCTCAAGGGTTTTCTTTTCGTTAGACGATTCATGACAGTGTGTGATATAGAACCGTCAAAGCTCTGTAACGGAGTATCCTAAAGAGAGGGACCTTGTAGTCACGTACTATTTCGTGGCACACAGACGTTACCGCAAAGATTTGACCAAGCCTGTATGGTAGCCGTTAAGCAACTGCCCACCTAACCCTCCCCTAAGCCAACATTTTGCTGTAAGTGAGAAGTAAGTGTTAATGTTGTCTTAGGGGAGGGGTAGGTGGGCAGTTTCCCAGGAACATATAATGATCCCACAGATTACAAGCTTGCAACAAAATTTATTGCAAAACGGCTGGAGAAAGTTCTTTCGCATCTCATAGGAAGAGACCATACATGTTACATCAAGGGTAGATTTATAGGCGAAAACAATCGTCGACGGCGACGGCAAAGAAAACGTCGCTGAAAAACTGAATTCGTGTTCTTTCAATCTTCATCGCGATTACTCCAAGTTACTAACTTTGTGAAATGTAGGCGAACCCTCCTAAAGTTTAATTCCTAAGAACCATATCCAAGCTCAGGAAGAGAAAGGAAATTTCGTCGTCGCTTGTGTACTTCCTGTGTACATCGTGAAATTAGGCATTTTGACGTCGTAGTCGTGCAGTGACGGCAAAGAAATGTATGAAAAAGCGTGATGCACGTGCAAAAGTGTTGTTTTGCTTATTAAACCTATTGCTTTTATGGCGTTCCCGTTGCCGTCGCCGTCGTCGGATCTTAAGGTCCCTTCTATGGCCACAAAGGACGATGGGACGCACTAAATGAGCGAGATGTGACACCCTCGGATTGTGACCAGGTTGGCGGGAATATCCCAAAATCAGGTTGGACACCTTATGTTTATACAAAATTACACAACGCTATACTCGTCGCAGAGAGCCATTTATGCGAATTTAGGCCCCGTCCACACTAACGCGCTTTCGACGGTTTGAAAATGCATACATTTCGATGCGTTTGGGCCTTACGTCCACTCTAATACGCTGAGCGCTTTCATCGATTTAAAAACGCTTTTGAAAATGAATCAAAACGAAAACGCATACATATCGTACTTGTCTGGACGGTCGAAAACGCAACAAAATGAAAACGATGACCAAAAATATCGCAGGCGCGTGTGTTTGTAGCATGCGCATAGAGTTCAACTAAAGTCAAAACGTGCAAATCTATCGTTTTCGAACGTTTAAGTGTGCACAGTCGAAAGTGCGATTTGAAACGTTGGCATGGCAGACAAGAATTCTTAGCTCGTACTTAGTGTACAATACAGAGATAACGTAACCATTGTTTTAGTTCACCACAAAGTTTAAGTTTTATTTGAACTATCAACTCATTACCCAGCGTTATGAGTTAGGCGAGGTAACCTCATCCATACCTAAGCTCAGGCTCCAAAAAAGCTTATTTCAAAACAAAAGTTACATCAACTAACACTTTACAATGTAATGTATCGTAAAATGACAACCTCCTCCTTAAGTGAAGGAACGTGGAGAGACAACCATAAAGACGATGGCCGCAAAATTTCAATAAAAAAATGTGTTCTTTCAAACTTTATTGCATTTATTTGGCCTCTATCATTTTGTCAAATGTCGGCGAACGTTTCCGCAGTTGAATTCTTCAACGCGGTATTTATCTTTAAAAAGAGAAAAGAAAATCCATCGTGTTCACGTCCTCCATAAAACGTCGCATTTAATAGGAAGTTTCACGTCCTGGTCGTACAGTGGACGTGAAAGAAATATACCGCAGAGCGCGATTCATGTGGAGTGCTGTTGCTTTGCTGATAAAATCAATGTTTGTTTTTTTAGGTTCTTACTGCCGTCGTCGTCAGGTTGCTCAGGCTCGCCAGTAATAGAGAGCTTAGATGTCTTAGAATCTAAGACGAGGACGACTACGCGAACGAGACTTTCCCAATACTAACTAGTGCTCGCGCGAACCGATGTCGTTTGGCGGGAAAATGTGATAGCCATCGTCAATCTAGTTTTAGCAAGAATGTCGAAGTGACGGGAAAAAGTTATCAAATGTTAGAAGTTTTATTATTTTGCGATCTGAAGAGAGCTTAAAAACCTCCTCCGATTAAGAAAACAGTGCTAACTTTTTCTGGTAAGTATAATGAACCTTTGTGGGGTGTCTATTTTTTGAAAATACGCGAAAAAACTTTAACTTAAATCTCGTACTTGTAGTCGTTCTTGTCCTCGAATCTAAAGGTTTCTAATGTTACGTTAGTTAACTAGTTTTTGTTTTTCACAGTACTTTTACTATTACATAAATGTACAACCAACGTTACAGTTTGAATGAGTAAATTCAGTTTTTATTGCCTATTTTCCAATATCACTCTAGAGCAGTCATTGACTAGAGTTATACTTTCCAATCACTCGCGCCACATAAACTTCAAAAACAAGAGATGAAGATACAGTCCACTCCTAAGGTCCAAGAGTTTTAATCCCGAACACTAAGAAGGACTTTTCATTCCCTAAAATCGAACAGTGTCGGATACATTCAGATTGCTGCTGGTTATAGGATATTCTAGATGTAAATGAACCCATTTTCAATAATAACGTGTTTTTGTTATTGACAAAATGATATAATCTGGTATAAGATTTTATTAAACGTCATTTGTTTCTCACTCTTCCTCATTGTGTTTCTTGAGAATTGTTGCAAGGACACTAGTCATCAAGCCATCCCGAATTTATTTACACAAAGACCGCTTAATTATCCGTCGAAGAAAGAAAGCTTCGCCGATTTGTACATGTGAGTTTTGCGTAGCAGTTGCTCTTTTTCAATGCTATTTGAGTTGCTGTTTAATCCTACTTAATGTGGTCAATAATAATACCACATGCAGAACCAAGTATTAAGAGTAGTGGACTACTCATCGTTTTGTGATTTTTTTTCCTTTTCTCAGAGGCCATCCTGATTTCTGACGTTATATGGTTATTTACACCGTTCAAATCGTGGAAAAGGGATAATTAAATTACTATAGTGTGCAGGTTATTTTTAAAGTGTAGAGGCTATCCTTTGAAACTTCAGAGGTGCAAACACTGAATTGAAACACTTAGCACAAGATTTATGTTAATTTTTCTCATTTTGGCAAACATTAGACTGTTCACAGTCCGCTATTTTTTCGTAAGATCGTCAGGATCGAGCGCTTAACAGCACGGGCGGTCATCTTGGTTTCATATGTACCGAGAGTGGGGGGGAGTTCAGGTTTATAGCGGTAGGGGAGAGAGGCGCCGCCTTCCAAACCGTCCCCTGCCCCCCAGGAAGATTTGACACTCATCCCAAGCCTAAACTCGGAACATTTGAAACCAAGATGGCCGCCTGTACTGCAAAGCGCTCGACGATCGTACGGAAAAATAAAGGACTGTGAACAGTCTAGGCAAACATTAAAAAAGAGTACGGGTTCCACGACCAAAAATGACAACTGATAATTGAAAATATAAAAAATACTATATTATTCAAAGTTAAATCATTTATGACGCACTTTTGTACGAACAATAGATGAATGACCCGAAAAAAATATTCCTGGCATTAGAAAACAACAACAGGTGTGTTTCCAAGGCTGTTATAGAAAATAGAGGTTTCTGAAGTTTTCGTTGCTCCATTAGGATGGACTTGATAATTCTTTTTCCAACAGGATATACGTATTTTGTTTAATGTCTATAAAAAATTTGGAATTAGCCATGTTACTTTTCAAGTATCCTCAAAAACGGAACATTCAAACGCTACATGACCGAAATATCGTAACAGCTAATTGAGCGTTTTCCTATAACTTAATGCTCCGAAAAAAAGGTTACTGTTAATTTCTAGACTTATACATTATCAAGTAAAGCTTTCCAAGATTAGACTTACGAAAGCTTTGAATACTGCAGTAGTCTGAATATGACGGACAACTATTTATTGTGATACTTGTACTTTGTAAAAAGCACCATGGCGCACAGATCCAAATACTCAACAAACGTCAGGAGACTGGCGCCCAAGAAAAGACCAATCTGACCTCCCACATCACCTAATATACACAATAAAAACAGTAATGAACATAAGGAGTAAAATCATACTTTATTTATGAAACCCTTAAAGTAATGAACGAATTGATCCTTGCAGTACAAAAGCTACGATGCATGTGCTTAACAAAAGGTCTACACAAAAGTCAATTGGTCGTATTTTTCGAAAATAATAAAGATTTTTAATTTAAAAAACTGGTAAGGTCACTCTTCTAGCCTGGCCAACTTTTCTTCATATAAAGACTTCGGCTCGCCCAGCCGGGTAAACTCGGTCAAGGTGAGACAATAAGATCATGTGGAGCGCCGTTATCAGCTCTTGGCTCGACTTTTTCGTCATATAAACGCTTGCTTAAGTTGACTGGTCTGGGAGGAGGTGGGGGTGACCCTCTTTTCCGGACAACTTTTCTCTATATAAACCGTACAACGTTAGTGTCAGGTAGGGTGCTGCCGACGAGAGGTTCCTCGAAAAGGCAGGAGAGCATCCTCCCCTCAGGAAAGGTATCCCCTCCCGACGTACCAGAGGAGTTTTAACTCTCTTAGGCACCGCAATCCGAGGCCCGTTACGTACCTGGTCGCACCAATACACTAAATGACTTTTCTGAGGGCCATATGAATGTATTATGTAACTATGTTTGCTTTTCGCTGACCTACCCGGTAGCTGATCAGTCAATAGTGCAAACGATTAGAATAGACAATTATCTATTCTATTCCACTCTACCCTACTCTAGTCTATTCCACTGCCGCAGGATTTGCTCAGTCGATAAAGTGCTTTACTATAGATCAGGAAGTCGCGGGTTTGATTCCCGGGGCTGGACCAATACTCGGGATCTTAAAATAACTGAGAAATGCAGGAGAGTACTGCCTTAGCCCTGTAAACGGCTAGGCCTCCTCATGGCTCTGGTGACCACTTAAAATGGCAGTCCTAAAAATAGTGTTCCGAATTATTATTTTTATACTGAACACATTGACACTTACTGACACCTAAACCAAACGCTAGTTTTTCTCTTTTTTTAGTCAGCTTTACGTCAATGTTAATTAATTGCATGCGTTAAATTCTATTGTGAGTGAATTATCACAGAACTTTAAACTTACCTAACAAGCTGTACAGATCATAACTGGGTACCTGCTTCACATCGGAGTATGTCAAAGACTCGTAATAAATTTTGAGCTCAAGCAAGTTGTCCCTGAGACGAAATGGATACAAGATCGCTAACATTAATAAGGATCCAGTCCTTTTTTGTACACTTCTGGTAAAAGATCTGCCATCTAAATGATTGTTCACGGTATATGAAGCATTTGTATTCTGTCCTTATTTCAAATGTTTGCATCTTCGATGGAGATCAAGAAATCTCGGAATGACATGTATTAAGCATTCTACAGGCTATATCAACGACTCACTGAAAAATGCTGGTTTACTAAGTTAGATCAAACGCCACTGAAACGTAGTAAATAGTTACAGTGACGCACAAAGGACTTATTGAAGGGCTCAAGCAAAACTAACTATGAGAAAATTACTGGAAGACCGACAATTTGACTAACAATAAAGGACTGTTTAACTGTGACAATGGACGGATCGAATTGAACCAATGAAATTTCGAGTCTTCATAGCCTTTAACATCACGGCTTAACTGACAGACGACCAATAACATCGCGACTTAATTGACCAATCGGGTTGATAAGCAGGTTTAATACCATCAACTGATGACGTGATAGAACTCACTTTGACTCTGAAGATGACTACCCCACAGAGTGTCGAAACGTTAGTCGATGTCAACAACAGTCCTACTCAAACTATGTTCACCCGTACTATCATACTCAATCTACTTATGACATGACTCCTAAGTTCAAACTTTTCCTAGTTTGAAAACAAAATAGGTGTAATCAGGAGTTGAAATGAGTTCATACTTTAACTCATACCTTAGGTATCGCCTATTCTCCTCGTCCGTGCCCTTCAGATTTCTCTTCTTGGCAAGTATGTAATCTGCGTAGGTGTTGGCAGGATAACGAGCGTAGGATAATTGAGCTGAAAATTCCACGCTTTCACATGCCACAGGGCACTTATCCAACTTGTTGTCTTGAAAATGCTCTAAAATCACAAATAAGCGAAATTATCAAGCGGCTTATCGAATATTGGAGCAGAGGCTGAGGCGAGTGCCTGTAAAATGACAGAAAAGTCGTCAGTAGTATTGAGAAGAAATCTCGCAGCTACAGTGGCAATTAGAATGTGGAGATAATGTGGAATTGTACGATAGCGATTGAGAAAGTGAACCAAAAACCTACAAAATCTTGTATCAACGTACATGAAGATGAAAGAGTTCAACATCATAGAGACCCCATGCTCAAGTTGGAGGAATAGTACAGATACAGAGCACAGAGGGGACACAGCCAGACAGCTTTTAAGAATATCAAACCAACAATGACTATTAAAGATTGTTAATGTATATAGATTATTTATTTATTTATTTGGCGAATAAATACATGAAACGTTATGATTTTAACTTAAAACAGCACTACCAGCCTTACCCCACGCCGGCCACATACAGCTGTCACTTGCTTTATAACCACAAACGGGAATTCCATCATCAGCACCTAAAGTTTGTAAAATAATTTATTGTTCAGTCGAATGACATTTTCATAACATAACCATGAGAAGAGACAGTAAGGAAAGGCTGTCTTAATTTGAAAAGCAACTGAGTGGGAATAACATACAATCACAATCATTCATTTGCCCCTGGATATTTCATCAGAAAAGCACTATTTTGAAGCTAGTAAGGCAGTTTTGGGAAGTAAAATACAATTCCCTACTTTCCCATATCCTCATGTTCGCCGAGTGTCATGGTTTCCTTTTAAGGTCTTCGTACACTGTTTGACGGGTTTGGCAAAAAAGCCACGGATCTTGAAACTAATTTTTTAAAGGATGTACAGGTTGAGACAAGATTTAATAAAATCAAATTTCCAGTCAGAGTTACAAGACTAGTTTGCATGTATCGCTGTCCTTATTGACCGAATTTCGCACGCTCAAGCATGATTCGGAAGGAAGAGCTTTACCTCCTGCATAGGTTGGAATTCCAAGTTATTTTCGAACATTTCAAAGCTGACGTCAAAGGTTGTACACGGGCTCAGGTGTCAGCTTAACAAGTAAATGGTTCATGTGTTGGAACTCCTGCCCTGAACACTTAGACAAGTTAAAAGACCAAACAATGGAGCTATATTGCACAACAACTTACCCGGCATGAACCAATCCCGACAGTTGCATTGCTTGATAACGTAACGAGCCAGTTTGTCCAAGAAACATTTAGATTTGCTGTATGATTTGAAGAACCTTAGTGGGGGCATCCCACAGTTTGTACGGTAAGGATGCGGCAAATTGGTCACCTGAAAACGGAAGATTTAAAGTAAGGATCCTAAAAAATACTTCATCCTCAAGGCTCATGGAGATTCTTTTAAAAAACCGGATTAATGGTAAGATGAAGTTCTAGTTTTATTTTGATTGTATCAGTTCATAATTGTGGTAGATAACAAATTGTCAGGACTTTAAATCAAAGCAGAGAAAGGCCGTTCTTGCATTTCTGTGAACAAAAGCCCCGTGGGAAGTGGAATAAATGTATGTATGTAGTCGAAAAAGGGTCTCTTGAAGCCTCGATCCCGTTTTTATTGTGTCCTCTCGGGAGCAGAATTAGGAAAAGGTATATTTGGTATATTTAAGGTGGTTCGAGTGGATTTTTCAGGGAAAATACCTCCCAAGCTTGAGTACTACCTACGTCGTCATTAACAAAGTTTTGGAAAAATGACCACCGCAGTTGTGGATAAAGATGAGCAATGACTATGATCCGCGTCACGTTGACGTTGGAGTTGGCATGACAACTTCATGACGTCATTGCCCAAATTACTTCCAGCCGTATTTCTTGGCACTGGGTTTTTTTTTCCAAAATTGTTCACGGGAGCATATTCCTCCAAAAGCTGCCTCGATGTTCGTAAAGTTCGAGGAAAATCTATCAGAGCGTTATCGAAATGCAATTTCACCTCGTAGTAGTTTCATTCTTTAAGAGTTTGAAAAGATCATTTGGATAGCTTTTGCTCATAGAAAGAAAGATTTACATATTGGTCTACTTTAACAAATGGGCGAATAATATGGAAACCAATCGATGGATTTAAGAATTATCGTCTTTTTATACGCGCGACAATAAAATAGTAGCTACAATGCGTTATTTTTTTGTCTGAAATTTCGTGTTTACAAGTGAGAGCCTCTCATTATTCAGGGGTAATGTTTCACGTGAACAGAAGTAACTAACAATGTATCTGGAATTTACAAAGATGTAAGCTATTGTCGTCCATAAAAATAGGGGAAACTTGGAGACAATGGGTGCTTACCATTTGCACAAACCACCCGGGTGGAACTCTAGCATAAACATAAAACTCAGTATAAAATTTGACATGGTGAAAGTATAACCAAATCTGCCAAAAAGACTCAAAAGAGTTGAAAGATTGATCGCCTCAAATCACATCCCATATTCTCAGTATTTTCGTCACATATTTTCTTCTCAAACAGAACGACGCGAGCCATTTAATTTTCCAACAGAAATTTCCGCATTTTCCATGTAAAAGGTAAATACCCAAGACTTCTCGGAATAATGATAGGCTCTCACTTCAACAATTTTCATCTTTTTCTAATACAGCTGTGGTGGTCACTTTTCCAAATATCTGTTAATGGCGACCTAGTTAATGCTATTGCCAACGGAAAATGCAGCCGAGAAACCTTGAGTCTTAAATTTCAAAGTATTTTTTTATGGCTTTGATCGTATTGTATAACGTCTACACTGCTCCGCCAAAACCAAAACAAGACAAATCGAATCAAAACAGGAAAGTACCAAAGAAATGAAAAACAAAATACAGCTGCAAAATCTTTGTCTAGGTCAAATTCAAACAGCAGTCTTTTTCAGAACCCCGATGTAACAGTTCAAACGGCTATTCTGATAAGATCATCGAGTAAGACAAATGTAAAATTGGTCTTCCCAAGAGACAATTAGGAACATAAAAGTCTCGTCTAACTTATTGAAAATCTTACTTAAAATCTTTGTTGTGTGCAAGTGGTCATGCTGCTGTAGTCTTTTATTCAAATATCAAGATCTTTAGGAGGTCAAAAAGTCTTTTTAAAAGTGTTTATATTTTGTTCTATAGTATCACAAAGAAGCCTTTCTGTTGATAGTTGTTTGACGGAACAACATTGATCAGTCTTATTATTGCCATAACACCCTACAATTTGCTGTGTTTCACTTTGTTTAGTAAAGCGTAAGGTGGGGTATATCCCTTAACTGACAAACAGAGCAAACTTTCATCCTTACGACTTGGCGATAAATCAGCGTTGAAAATCTCTCATATCCCATTTTGTAAAATAATTTCAGGGCATCAAATGTTATTAAATCCACCGTACAAAAGTTGTACCGATGAGGGTGCATTGAAAGATCACCCTTCAGGATTTTCTCCACGGATTCAAAAATTTTAGCGATATAAAAAAATGTAGCGACATTGATTATATCTCTCATAATAGAGTCAGAGAAATGAGCCTCAAGAACACTGCAAATACAACGGATTCTGGTGAATATATTCAGCAAATTATGTTCAACTATTAAGAAATAATATAAATAAGACAAGCCAAATACTGATACATGTTTACTGGGATGTATGGCAGCGAAAAAATTAAGTTTCTTGTTTCTTTGACATGTTTTAGCAGGGAAAGTTTTTCTTTTCACTTCACTTTTGTTTTAAGTTGTATATACTGATATTGATTTTGATTAAAGATGTTGAGGTTATTTTTCACTTTTTTTAGTCGTTTCCCTTCTCGTGATTTATTTTTTCTGATTTTGATTGACGATGATTGAACGAATGAAAAGATAGATAACGGCGAACAATTGTAAGTGTTGCAAAAATTAAGACGATAAGACATCAAAGAAACACTGCAATTAAGTGTTTATTAAATCATAAGAATTTTGTATGCTAATTTAACACGTATGCTTAAGTTAATAAAAACTAAGAAGTACTCAAAATATAATTGAAACACGTGCACCTACTTGTTTCTTCTGAATCTCCATGTAGGTCGTAAAGCCCGGTGCAACGGCATATCCCTGCATTTTAACTGGCGTCTCAGCTTGATCGTGCAGAATAACTCTGAACCCAGCACTTTCTACAGCATAATAATACTCGTAGTGTTGAAGGTCAATAAGTAAGCGAAGTCCTCTGTCCTGTCCGGTGTTTGTGGTGTTAAGAATGTTCGAACCATTTTTACCAGAATTAAATGTAAAACAGACATCTCCAAAGGCGTTTTTAAACTCGGTAAAGTTGTTATGATCGCACTTGTGGTCCTTTCCGTAATTACATTCCAGAAGCATTCTGTCAAGGCGATGGGCCGCCTTTGACAAAGTATCTTGCATAATTTTACCTGTAATGTTACCTTCAATATCACTAGAGTTTCGTCCATCTATGTTTTTTCTCACATACAGCTCATTCACGAGAGTTCCGTTCATTACAGATAACCGAGCGTCGTTATAATTGCAAATGGAAATCGCGGGAAACACCATACTGCTTTCATAAACGATAACAGTGGTAGTAGTAAACGGGTAATCAAAGTAATTATAGACGCTGGTCAAACATTTTTCAACAAAGAGCGAGAACGCTCCGAGCAAAAGTAATGTCCATAACACGCGTCGAACAGGAGGATTGCCTGCAAAACAGAAATGAAAACCATGAAGGGTACAAGAGTCTAAAAACGATACCCACAAGTCATGTATCTTGCCCGACTTCTTCTTTTCATCCAGTAGCTTTTTACAGCTTTCATAATCATTGTTTTTCTTGCATTTGTCATAGTCGTTCTCGGGATAAGATCCGTCGTTCACAGCAGGCCAATTGGTCTTCATCGTCGTTTCCGCTACTTCAAGCTCCTTGCCCTTCGCGTCCGACTTGATATACACGACGGAGATATCTTTCTTACAATGGTTGCAGAAAGCATAAATGCTGCTGGCACCATTGCTGCTCTTGTTACAGTCGTTGCCTTTGATGACAATTTTCACATCGCCAGTGTCATCTGTGGCAGCATAGTTTTCGTTGAACAAGTTAGACATGTTCACCAGCTTTCACAGCAAAGCAGCCTGAGTTCGCAACTGAACAGTGAAGCTAAACAAACGACCTTGAACCAGGTCGGAAGGACTCAGATTCAGAATAATGGAGTCTTCTTGCAACGGCGTCATAAAGATTGCCCGTATGACCAAATCCCCATTAAGTTTCACTTATATTTCAGCACTGATGCCTGTTAATTGAAGCTTTCTCTAGTCTACTTGAGTGGCCTGGGTGTGCAAAACCAATCAGATGCTGTATTGAATGTCTCCAGCCCGGTATTCTGCCAATTAAAACCCAAATTTGCATGTCAATAGATGTTAGATATTTGGATGAGTTGTATTGTTTCATTTCAAGGTGCAATCATGACTGACAGGTGGTATTGGACCAGGGAAATACCGCACTGTATCACCCTGTGACTTATTTTCTTGACAATAACCTCATTTATCAAAAACAGCCCTTCAGCTCTTGAAACGTCAAATGTTATTAAACACAAAACATGACAGCGACAACAGTCGAATTGACTCAGTGAAAAACTCATCGAAAGAATTTACAAAGTAGTAACGAGATCTGAAAATTCCTTTATTCCATTTTGATAATTGTAATTTCATTTGCATCCGTATTTTCGAAAATAAATATCATTTATTTATCTTAGGTATTTAAATTGTTGTCAAATTATAATTTATTGCTCTCCGTCCAGTGCTTCCACTAAATAATCTCGCACCGTTAGTAAACGAAAAGATGAAATGTTTAGACAATCGTTTGTTGACGAGCAGCTGAGCCCTCCCCTGGGAAAAAAGGGGGAGATAAACTGGAAAAGCTTAGAATCATCGCTTGTTGATGATTGCCTTGGGCGAGTACAATTTATTATTTATGTGTAACTGTCCTACACGCTCGTCAAATCACCATGAAGAAATAATACGTAAAATAGGTAGCAGATTAGAAAACATCGCGCGGAACAAATGAAAACGACAATAGATGGTGGATTCAACTAAGCATAAGTTCAGCTTTTGACTATTGAATCTTTTTATATTTTTTTTCTCCTACCTTTATTTCAATTCTTCTTCAATTTCTTTCGTTTTTCTTTTCGTTAACCAATTATCTGTTGTTTGGCAGATAATTACAACATTTTTTTAAGAGACAGATCCGCTATAAGAAATCAGGACAAACTGTTTTTGTCGGTTCCTGATCGCTAAGGGAAGTAATCCTTATAAGAACCATTATTCATTATAATCACGATAGTTTTACTGATTATCAGTACTTTAGCTTTATTCTATTTGACTTTTATTTCCTATGCAAAATTGTTATCACAGAATACCAGGAAAGAAGTTTCAAGTTGCTTAGGGATGTTTGGTAGACTTGCCGACGGTTAAAACCCGGCATGTTATCTCTGAATAAGACTAAACTACCGCTTGAATTTTAAGCAAAAAGTCGAAACCGCGGGTAATATTTCTTTTGCGGATCTGGTTTGAGCTTATCCTGCTTATTAGCAAGTTTATATGGCCATTTTTAACTTCAGCATGTCATAATGGTGAAAAAAGACCGCCGCATCTTTAAAAGAAAGATAAGACCTTTAGTGTACAAATACATTTTTAGTAGAGATAAAGATACATGTATAATTCTGCTAGTGCAATATTTGCAAATTGTTAATAATTAATTCATCCGGCGCAAAGCTGCGATTTGAGGCAGGAACCGCAAACGATTTTCGGTGATTTTTAGAAAGGGCGCATTAAAAAGCATTAAAAAGGATTGATGTATCCGTGAGTATTGCTAAAGTCACATCACCATAAAGCTAAAGCTTAGAAGTAAAAAGTGAAATTCATTCATAACCCTCAACAAAGTATGAATAAATACATAGCCCCATGTTGCACAATTTCGGAAAATATAATAATTGCAACGACGTGTTAATATTAATATAAAGATTTGCAGATTTGCAGATTAAAGAAATTGGCAAATTTCACGCGGCTCGAGCTTAAAAATATATGGAAAGTTCTCAATTAACACCAAAGAAAACCCGGGAAAGCAATTCGGAAAAACTGGACGTAAAGTGTTGATAAAGCTATCAAGAAACGAAAATAAGCTTATTTTACAGTCGATTATATTTTATATTTTTATTGGATGTGTTACAACTTCGTCCTGTTTATAAAGCAAGGGCTATAGGGTTTCCTAAAAAATATTTTACTTAGAAAAGCGGCAGGCGGTATAACTCTTCTGGATAAGTCTATGCACAGCAGTTTGTAAATTCTTCATCTTTAGGCGGTTATTCCCAGCTTATTGATCAACTGAAGTGGTAGTTATTTAAAACATAGCCAAGATACCGCCTTGAAAAGCAACCAGTAATTCAGCTATTTCAGAAAGAAAAAACTGAATACCTTCCGGTATTTCTATACTTTTCCAACAAATCAATCTTCGTCAATTATGTTTTCTTACCACATATAACCTAGAACAAACCAAAAATATATATATGCAAGGGAAATACGTCCATTGTTGTTCCGTATGTTTCGTGCTGTTAGTGTGTGGGTGATTCAAGCCAGCAGGAAAAAAAAAAAAACGATTTTCTCATCTGTTGGGATTTGTTGAGTTACGGCTCTCTCCTCCGTAAAGGCTCCCGCTGGGTATCACAATAAAGTCGAAAAACAGAAAGCGCGCGGGGGGAAGATGGGAAGAGGGAAAAGGCGGGAGTAGGCCTCTCTTCTCCCTTCCCATCGTGCCCCGCGCGCTTTCTTTTTCCTTGTCGCTCGCCCTCCCTACGATAAAAAGAGGCGAGGCCTCTGTGGGGGAGCGGAGAGAAGAGCTATGGAGAGAATTTTTCGACAAATTAGGGACTGTGAACAACAAAAGTTTTGAGATCTCGTCCACGTATCCGGATATCTTCAAGGTGACTCGACCCAGTTTTTTTGGGGGGATACCATCCTACGTTGAAGCTCTCTGGTATCCCCACCTTTACTTTTATCGTAAGTCTAACATATAGAATAGATAACATATAGATCAATCTACAATATAACAAAATTCTTGGCGATCGGAGTAAATGTCAGGTGGTTATAATGCCACGCCCCTTTGAGGTCTGAGTCGAAAATCTGCTGTTGCCGGCATTTTTTCGTGAAAATCTCTCGGCTGCACATAGTGCGCATTAGTGCCTTGCGCTGAACAGAGTTTCATCAAAATCGCAAAGACCCAATTCGAGAAATTCAGCGGTTTCCAAATTTAGGTCATAATTTATGCGAAAATGATCAGCAAACTTTACACGGATTATATCTAATAAACTATGAGATTCATCCCTTTATTTTGGGTATCGTTATAACAGATGGGTCCTTACAAGTCAGCAAAACAATTTAGGGCCTTGTAAATGCGCGCGATTTCGAGCAAAGCAAACATATAGAAATTATAGTTTTCGCTATTTGTTGACGTTTGTCAGCGTTTAAGAGTCAATCTCACGAAAAAAGCATTTTCTTAAAAATTTGTAGTTTTTTTTCCTTCAAATTGTTTCAGGGCCACAATTGATTAACTAACTACCCGGACTCTGAATTTTATGGTCATTGAAAAAATGTGACATTATCTTCTATAAGCCCAAACTTGAGTAAACATTGAAGGCTGAGTTTGTGCTTTGGGAGTTGTCTATTGTTTCTAGTCTGTCATGATACAGCATTCTTGTTCAGCACGCGTGCAATGACCACGCTTGGCTGACAACCAAATGCTCACCGAGACTGATGATAATTTTGATACAGTGAGACAGGCCATCGCGTGATACATAGAGGTTTAACTCACAATTTTTAATCAATTCTCGTGCTTCTTGTGCCTGTGCTACACACTAAATCTACTTACTATTAAAAAAATATCATTTTTTCATAGGTTTAATGCAAGCCAATAATTAAACCAACTCGTGACGGGAATCCCTTCTATTTTCTTATACTAAATTATCATATCTCGGTGAGCATTCGGAAGTCAGCCAAGCGTGGTCATTGCACGCGTGCTGAACAAGAATGCTGTATCATGACAGACTAGAAACAATAGACAACTCTCAAAGCACAAACTCAGCCAAAACGCTAAAAATCTTCAATATTTACTCACGTTTGGGCTTATAGAAGGTAATGTCACAGTTTTTCAATGACCATAAAATTCAGAGTCCGGGTAGTTAGTTAATCAATTGTGGCCCTGAAAAAATTTGAAGGAAAAAAAACTACGAATTTTTAAGAAAATGCTTTTTTCGTGAGAAGGACTCTTAAACGCTGACAAACGTCAACAAATAGCGAAAACTATAATTTCTATATGTTTGCTTTGCTCGAAATCGCGCGCATTTACAAGGCCCTAAATTGTTTTGCTGACTTGTAAGGACCCATCTGTTATAACGATACCCAAAATAAAGGGATGAATCTCATAGTTTATTAGATATAATCCGTGTAAAGTTTGCTGATCATTTTCGCATAAATTATGACCTAAATTTGGAAACCGCTGAATTTCTCGAATTGGGTCTTTGCGATTTTGGTGAAACTCTGTTCAGCGCAAGGCACTAACGCGCACTATGTGTAGCCGAGAGATTTTCACGAAAAAAATGCCGGCAACAGCAGATTTTCGACTCAGACCTCAAAGGGGCGTGGCATTATAACCACGTGACATTTACTCCGATCGCCAAGAATTTTATGTTATATTGTAGATTGATCTATATGTTATCTATTCTATATGTTAGACTTACGATAAAAGTAAAGGTGGGGATACCAGTGAGCTTCAAAGTAGGATGGTACCCACCCAAAAAAACTGGGTCGAGTCACCTTAAAACGGAGATTTTTTTCTCCGTTTTCGAAAAAATATGAGTCCACCAAGCGTATTCGAATCGTTTTCGCTCATCCATCATTTTCGTCCCCACAGCCACTCGGCTTAATTTGTAACGAACTCCTCGTTTCAAGACCCCGTGACCAAGAAACGACGGGCTCTGGAGACGAGAATAGGAATTTTAAGCAATGACGACGACGACGATGGCGAAAATGTCTCTTTAAAAGTGAGTTCATGCTGTTTCAAAATTTATCACTCTTATTCCATGGCGTTCAATTTGTCAAATGCTGGCAAATTTTTCTGCAGTTGAATTCTAAAGGACTGTATCTAAGTTTAAAAAAAGAATTAGAAAAATCGTTGTCTTGTGTTAACGTCCTCCAGAAAACGTGAAATTGGGCATTTTGACGTCGTGGTCGTGCAACAACGGCAAATAAATGTACAAAAAGCGTGATCGATGCCAATCAAAGTTTTAACCTCTTGCTTTTGATCCGTTCTCGATGCCGTCGTCGAAGTCGTTGCTTAAGCTCCCTACAGTGCCCATCCACACGACAACACTAAAAAAGGACATGCGCATCATGATGCATGACATAATCCTAATCGTAAACGCCGTTTTTGTTTTTCGTCCACGCGAAAACTATAAGACGGCGTTCCTACTTTTTCAAAAATATCCGAATATGTGTGGATTTACGGCAATATTAGTGCAATATTAAAATGAGTGGTGTTTGGAAGTCTTTTCTTTTAAGTTATGTACTTTTAAATAACACTGTATATAACCGCTCCTCTTGAAGTCTCTAAGCCAGGGCAAACATAATTTTGAGGGAAGTAACGTTTTACTCATATACAAGACCTCTGGATCCCGGCCCGAGCTGGGCGTAAAGTTTATCAACCAACCAACTAGAAACTCAAGTTCTGCTCAAACTATATACCGTACAGCGCTTGCGTAAACCATACCGGATGAGGCTTCTGTTCACATATAACAACTGTGATTTCCGCGCGATTTCTGTAAAGGAGCAAAGCTCCCGCGCCAATCTTGAAAGTGGAGTGTGATATATCGGATAAGTTCTCTTCAACACTTTAATGCAGTGTGAACAGGTATTTGGACCGTAAAGAAAGTGAATAAGACTGGAATCCATGGAAGAAGATATTCAGGGGTGAGGACTGGATTTAAGTGCCCCAAACCCTGTCGGCCAAACGCACCGGAACGATGTTCAATGTGTGTGAAGGACTTGTTCCAGTTCTGTGCCTTTGCTGTTCATACTATACCGGCATGAAAAGCTATCCAGAATAGTGTAAAAATAGCCTCAGTCGATTACAGAACTCTGTAGAGGACTTAGTAGCCTGATAATAGATTAGAGACCTTTAGATTCTAAGACGAGTACGACTACGAGTGCGAGATTTTCTCAAAACCAAGTAGTACTCGCGCGTGAACCAGCGTCATTTTGGAAGGAAAATGTGGTAGCCTTCGTCATTCTACTACGAGTTTTAGCGAGAATGTCGAAGTAGCGGAAATAAGTTATCAAATGTTAGAAGTTTTATCATTTTGCGATCGGGAGGGGGCGTAACTTCCTTCACTAAAGGTAACAGTGCTAACTTTTCTGGTGAAAATGGTAAAATGAAGCTTTCCGGAGAGTCTATATATTAAGAATACGCGAAAAAAACTTTAAGTCGAATCTCCTACTCGTAGTCGTCCTCGTCCTTGAATCTAAAGGTCTCTAATGACGTGATGCAGAGATCTAATTAATGGATCGAGCAAGGTCCAGCATAGAAATTCCCTGATGACAACACCCTCATAATTTTACTCTGCTACACTTGGTGCCCGAGATTTAGTGCCTGGATACCAGCACAAACTGATTATCTTGTGTTAACACCTTGGGTACCCGATTTCGATAGAGCTATATCACACCATACTCGGATACCCGCCTCAATTCAGTTATCAAGGCGGGTTACAATTTATGTCTGGAACGCGAGAAAGGAACTGGGGGCGTACTCTTGCCGACCCGGTTTCAGACGCTTTTAAATTGGCCGAAGCGAAAAACACCATAATCTTCTTTAAAATGCCGTTTGGGTGGGGCTTCAAGTAAACAAACCTTTGCATTATCTTTTGTTCTTTGCAAGAACTGCGCGAGCAGCGTGTGCAAGTTTACGAAGAGCTGATGCGTTTCACGCGCAAATCAGAGAACACAATGTATTGCAAAAGTGGGATTTACATCAAGCACCATCCAATGGGAAATTAAAGAATATTATGGTATTTTCTGCTTTCCCTAAGTACCCGCTTCTGATTGGGCAGCAAATATTTTCTGATCAATCATGTTAGAGCATCGAAGGAATAAATGACAATCAAAAGGATGTGTGACTACAAGGAAAAAGACGTTATTCTGACCCACTCAATTCAGAAAGCCAAAAACGTAAAAACACAATAAAATTATATTTATTTAACACTATCAATAGATCATAATTTCTTTCCACTATCTTCTGTATCTTTGAGACATAATTTTTTCATTGCTATGATTATCATATATGATTATTCCAAGAGCACGTAAAGAAACGTCCTTTCAGTCAATCTTTTCCTTTTGAAAAAGGACTGTCCTATTGAACCACAAGCATTTCAGTCACTGGGAAAACAAAATATCAATTCGAACTTGTAGTTCTGGACGTTTCTCAGCATGCAATCAAAGTTGTCATCTAAGCAGTATGAGAACCTTCAAGCTCCTTTGTAACACTTTTAACAAGGGAGTTATAGTAAGAATCACGTTCTGGGCAAACGGAATACAGCACACGGCAGAGACGTTCAAACGATTGCTAATACGGCCTCAGATAGATAATAAAATAACGTTCTCGCTCAAGAATTTCATGAACACGTGAGCACTCATCTTTATGTTGTAAACGGCCAGCGACAAGGGTTGTAAACAATGGGAAAAATAGTCACGTGGTAATCTCGACCGTTTGCCGTTAACTTTATGCTTACAATATATAACCTACAGAGGGTTTTTACATGATGTCACGGCGGCCATATTGGTGTTACAAAAGAAAAAAAGAGGAAGAAGCGAGGCCATGGTGGTGTTCCCAACCAATCCTGTGGCAGTTGAACTCTTTTGTTATGTAAACGCGTTCTTTTGTTCCAATATATTTTTGCATAGATGTTGGCCGCCACGTGAGTGAAAACGCTCTGTACCACGCCAAAAATAGGTATGTTACTATGCGCATTTAATTGTCTATTGTACCTACTCAACTCTGAACATATCGCAGTGCCCTAAATTATCGCACTGGATTTACAAGTACTTGCTAATTTTGGGAGCGATGTTGCAGAAGAGTCTTTCTTCGAGTGTGGTTGCACGAGGCTTGGTTTCAATGTGATCGGTCGAATCATCTCAATCTGCGCGATTTTAAGGGACAACTGGGGGATGTGGACATTAGCGTTTATAGAGAGTCAAACTATATCTAGGCAATTGCAATCGCGCGTCAAGTCCTAATTGTCCCGCATCTTATGTGAGGTGTCTCCATAGGATTGTCTAATGCAATCGTCAGAACACCACTTGAGATGACTTGGGCGATCAAAATCACCTAGGAGTTCATAGCCTAATTCTATCATAGTTAAGGTTGACTTGGTGATTTCTTTTTGACAATTGGATATTGCGCATTTGGCATAAGGAACTCACTGCAATGCTTTGCTTGAGTGACCGCCAGTGAAACAATGGCTTCCCAGCGTGAAATTGCCCAATGCCCAAATCCCAAAGCAACCTTCATTTAATCAGGTATATATTACGTAAAGTCCGTTGCATCCGTAAAATTTGTTGTCGCGAGTCTAAACTTTTGCGTCACAACACTATTCCCACTTTAGTCAACTTTTAGGTCCTAAATAGGCCATTTCCGAGTAGCCCCAAGCCCCTTTTTCAAAGCGAGGCTAAGTGCGAAGATGAGTTTGTTTATTCTCATGCAATTAAAGCTCATTTTCAGAAGAGAGGTTTTGCACTTAGCCTAGTTTTAACAAGAAGAGTTTGTGGAACTCGGAAATGGCTTATTTGTGATGTCCATTTTTTCGCTAGAATCAATTCAAATTACGTAACTACCTATTATGGCGAGCAGATATTACGCCAAGGACAGACCCATCAATGCATAACATTTATCCCACAAGATTGAACACCTCGACTTAGTCCTAACCTGCTGAAAATGTTAGGTATGAGAAAATATATATGGCTCCTTAAAAACTGCGTCAAAGACTAATTTCAATAAAAAATCAATTAATTGCCCATTTAATCAAGGGAAACCAACTGAGTAAAATGGTTTCCAGCAGTGACATGTTTTAAAAAAAATTCACAAAATTTACATAAACATGGAGGCGGAGTTTCATGGTTGACATGATAGCGTTTTACATTCAACAATTGATGTATGCGATGTTGTTAGTTTTGAAAGTTTCCGCATGTCTGTTCGATCTACCATATTTACTCGAAAAAGACCCACGGCGTTTATTATCAAATGAGGTGCTTATTCAAAGTAAATACGGAATTCAAATGAAGTCTGCTGTCGTTGAGTTTAAGCTTCTCAACTCAGTGACAAAGTTATAATTTACAGAATGGCACTCTCTCCTTAATCCGTGAGCTACACTTGACGAACTTTGCCAACAATACTACTAATGGAGTACTACTCCATAATCTACCAACACAATATGGAGCCCAAGTATTGCCAGCCACAAGGATTCCGTAGTCATCGAGTTTGTTTGCGAGGTAAAGCGATGAACATAGAACTCTTAAGTATGTTTTTTCTGTAAACATGTTTGTACGTAAAGTAGCAGGTAACTGAGGTAGGAGGCAAGAGTGAAGCGACGATTCTGACCCTTTTACTGTTGTTGAATTGTATGAACAAGGGAATATATATTTATATCAGTATTTCTGCCCCCTTTTAGTCGCTGACACCGACATATTCCACATATCTCAAAATTTACCCTTTGTACACTCTCGTCTGCGTTCGGTCTTAGGACAATTAAGTAGACAGTCTTGTTTTTGATTTTGGCCACTGTCGGAGCGTTTGATCCTGGTTGTATCTTTACTACTTAACGCAGTTTGCGTAGTTAAGTATTGTTTCCCATCTTTCTGCTCCCTTTACAGCGACCTCTTTTAACTTTTGATTTGGTCTTAAACACCTTTAGCAAATTGCGAAAGATTCGTCCTACACCAATCAGTCCGTTATTTGTACACCTAACAATCACAGAGACCGACTACCCATTTACACTAGTGTGTGGACACCTCACTTAAGTAATATCTAGGATGTTCCTCTACGGCTTGGACCGGAACCAGTTGATGGCGAGAAAGATAAGTAGGTCTACAAATTCCAGTATTGTAACGACACTGGCGCCTAACACAAGTCCAAGCTGTCCACCAGCATCACCTGAAACAAATACGACATGATACTTAGGAATACAGTTCTCTCTCTCTAAGTCGGACACATTTAGAACCGGAACTACTGACCGTCTTAGAGAGAAGTCCGTCTTACAGAGAGTCAAATAAACGAAGTAAAGAAAGGCAGGGACTAACTCAAGGTGTCGTTTTACAGAGGTTTCCGTCTTACAGAGATGTCCGTTAACGGAGAGTTAACTGTACTGTCGCGACTGTTAAAAATAAGACTTAAAGTAAGAGCTTTCAATGAACCTCAGTAAATCTCAACACAGAAAATGAACTTAAGGTACCCTTTAACTATAGTCCAAATACGTTTTTAACTGTACATATTTTTAGGATTTTATGTTTTTAATTTTTCAAATTTGTAGAGGGGGAGATTTTTACTTTTTAAGTTTGATTTCTACAGTAGTTTTAATTAGTGGCGTACCTGAAAACTAGTTTCTCAAATAAGAGTAGTTACCACTTTAAATAGGAGTAAAGTCTTAATTAAGTCCTACAAAACGTTTTAAGCATTTTATTGTATAATCGCTACTTAACTTATTAACTTATAATAATTTCCCGATGGAATGGTCAGCGGGTGATGGGAGAGGGTTTTCTAGTATTCTTTAGGTAGTTTGCGTTGATGCAATCGGCCAATGGCATCCATGGACGATCAATTACCATTTTAAGAGCAAATTAATCACTTACACCATGTCAAGGGTCTCGGCAGGCCCAAATGCTGGCGAGGAGACATTCATCATAACATCAAATATTTTTCGTAACACACCAAGACCCACCTACTTACAGATTAAACAAACTTCAACTTTAAAATAGTAGTAGGGGAATTCTCAAACTAAACCACATGGGAAAGAAATAATGTGCATTTTGTATACACACTAAGAAATCCTAAAGCCGAAACAATTTTACTTACCCAGCAGCCTGAAAAATCCGTAAACTGGAGTCTGTTCAAAAATATCAACCCTAAGTTCGCTATAGAAGAATGATAACACCACATAGTAGTCTCTGCAATGAAAAATACAAACTATAAGGAGTTCTAATCATGAAAGATATTGTGTCCAAAAAGAATTGTGCTACTGTACAGCTTACAAGCGCCTAGCCTTGGAGGTTATGATCTGTTTGATACGCAGTGTAAAAAATTGAAGCAGCTTTAGAGCGTCATCCTCAATCTCAAATGTTAAAACCACCTTGTACAGCATAACAAACAATTTCGCAGGGGCGCACTGCTCAATAGCTTTCAGTATTTGAATGGTCACTATTGAGGATTTCATCCACAGACTTCGCCCAAGTTATAACCAACTTGTACAGCAAAATAAACAAGAACATCGAAACGTACTACTCCGAAGCCAATTCTTTTCTTTTTTAACTTTTGATAAGAACGTCCACGTTTCGAGTTGACCCTGGACCGCCGTTCTTATTTTCTGGGCAGTTTCAGACTGGAAAGGTTCTCAAGGAATTTCCTAAATATCAATAACGAAAATCTGATAACGTTTAAGCTACATACATGGAGAAGATTAGATAACGATTATATTTTTCATATTAATGAATTGTACAAGTACAAAGTAAATGTATTATTGATCATACACAATGGGAATGTGTTAAAAGAACAAAATTTACATGCTCTCTGATTCCACTGTAGGACATGGAATTCAGATTTTCGCGATTTAGGAAAGTAAAAGCAGTGAAAAATAAATTGTTCTTCTCTGAGCCTCGGGTATTTTCCTGGCATGTTCTTAACATTTTGGAAAATTTCAGGCTGAACGTTCTCATAAAAGAGTCTACTTTAATTTGACTGGTCGCACATAGGGATTTCACCGACTCTCTTTACTCAGTTGCTTTATGCGGGTTTCACCCCTAGATAAAATTTAAGACTCTTCAATAGCACACTAGATAGCGTATAAGGGGAATGTAGTGTACTGTTCTGTTTTAAGTAACTGTAGAAAGCGTTTGTTTTCCAAACAAAGAGCTAGAGTCAAGACATATTTTGGGTAGACTGATTGAGTGAGACACAAATACTTACAACATAAAATTCACCATGCCATCAGTATCATTAGGCATATTTTTGGCTTCCTTGAGATTGGAATACTTTAACACAGGCAGCATCTTCTGTGGTAAGTATAAAGCCGCAGATAAGGATGATTTATATGACACCTTCTCACAATCAACCGGGCAGCTATTTCCGTTCCGCTGTTCAGTTTCCTCTAAAAAAATAAGGAAAGACGAAAGTTTTGAGTTAATATTATTTAAAAGGGCTTCAGCGACGTCAGGTTCAATGGAACAAGTCTTGCACTGCAAACATCTTCATACACTGTAGGTGAAATAAATGTCAGGGTAATGCGTTTATTCACCCAAACACGTGGAAAAAAGCTCGTTTAACAGTTGTTTGGTGTCCGATCGAGGGAGAATTTGAAAGTCTGGGTTCTTCAGCCTTTGCTTTTGAATAGCAGTCGAAGAAAAACCTTTCGGAGCAAAAAGAACAATGTAAAAAAGACATCAACATGTTTACTCCACCGCCAACCGAAGCCAATGTTAAGAGCCATAATGGCTCTTGCCAATGTACATTGGCGGGTGACGGAACACTGTAAAAACCATGGTACACTTCCTCTAATTCAAGTGGGCGTGTGGCCTGACAGTCCACACCAATAGGCCACTTTCGATATGTTAAAAGATTCTTAGAGGACACAAAGAAAGAAAACGAATAAACCATGTTCATTCATGTTTATTTATTTTCTGTTTGTGTCCTTTAAATTAGCATTACACTCACCCCATGCTGGCCACATACAATCCAGAGTCTTGTTTAATGAACACAGTGTATAATTATCCGCTGTTTCTACACCGAAAAAAGGAGAAGTGTGGGTTATTGCTGAAAATGGCTATTCAATAATGCCGCTAACTTTCTTTCGGCTAAATCGAGTTAAATTACAAGGAGAAATAAGCCATTTGAAGCTGATGACTCATGTTATACAAAAAGGCCACGCTAATGAAAGAATAAAATTTGGGCATGTTTCTGTATCACGTGTTGGATCGGCCGCAAAGAGGCCATTTCTCTTTGTAATTATACTTCTGCGCTAAAAAGCAAGTGTTAAGAGGCAAGCAAATGACCGAAAGATAAACGGCATGTCTATATTAGAGCTAAAACGGTTAAAAGGATACATTTGCTGCAATGATAAGGATTTTTAGTGATATTGAACTGACCGCGATCATTTGAGGTATCGTAAATCCTCTATTAAGCCCAAGCTTCCCCCCACCCCCCCACGGGGGATTAATTAGGGAACTTGAGATCCGACGACGGCGACAGCAAGGGAACGCCACAAAAGCAATGGGTTTAATTAGCAAAACAACAATCACGCTTTTTTGTACATTTCTTTGCCGTCACTGCAAGACTACGACGTGACAATGCCTAATTTAACGATGTACAGAGGAAGTACACAAGCGACGACGAAATTTCCTCTCTCTTTCTCAACGTGGATATGATTGTTAGGAATTCAACTTTAGGAGGGTTCGCCTACATTTGACAAAGTTAGTGACTTGGAGTAATCGCGATGAAGATTGAAAGGACGCGAATTTTCTTTTTCAGCGACGTTTTCTCTGCCGTCGCCGTCCTCGGATCTTAAGGTCCTTGTTAATTTAGAAGACGATGGTATCATTTCTCCATAAAAAAAACTAAAACGCAAAGTGAAAAAGTACAAGTACATGAAGTTGGAGGTCATGCAGTCAAAGGGGGATTGATAGAAGACTAACGGTCACACACCACCCTCACTGACAATGAAGAGAACTGGAAACGTTTTAGCCGATAATAGTGAGTTTACTCAACAGGACGGCAGGAATAAGAGGACTGCAAAATGCTCCTGTGTTACAAAAGTGACAGGGCCATTACTTACGTGTTTTGTCGTGATCTTCACTTAACATTTATGTTTTCTGGTCTTTTACAAAATGATCTGTTTCAAGTTTTTCAAACAGAATTATTGTCACACTTGTCAAACAAAGTTTGCCGTCTTCTTTCATCTCCCGTCCTGTCGCGTAAGTTCACTAACACCTCCAAAGAAACGCGACTGCAAGGAGGTGTGTATCCGCTACGCAATCGCAGCGCGGGCGTTACTAAACTTTACATGATTATTCTAAAACCAGTTTTCGGTTTTAAGTCATGTAGAATAAGTTAACAAACGAAAAAAAATGCAAAAGTTAGGAGATCTAATAATGAAACCGTGAAATAGTACACAAAAGGGCGATACCATCAACTGTACAAAACCATTGACAATATTTAAGAGCCTCGTAACAAATTTTACGCACACTTAAAAATGCTGGGGTGAGGTGGAAAAATACTGAATTATCTATATATTATAGATCATATTTTTTCTTGATTTTCTTTCTTTCACCCATAAAGAACAAATGAAATAGATAGTCTCACCTGGCATAAACCATCCACGGCAGCCACACTTTCTGGTAACGTTCTTTGTTATTTCTTCTAAAAGACACTTGTTTTTTGAATACTCGGGAAAATAATCCAAATTTTTCCCACCACAATTGGTTCTAAAAGGTTTGCGAAGATTTATAAGCTATAAGGAAACATAACATGCCGCTGTTAATGTTGCAGTATAGCTACTATGACAGCTTCTCATATAGTCAACTTTCTTTGAGACGGACACGTTGGAACCATATTAGACGGGTGTTGGCCTGAAAATGGCTAAAGGACGATTGGTACCAACTCTAGGAAGAGTTGTTTGTACAACAACAAGTTTTCGTGTCTAATACATGTTGTTTTTTTTAAATCAACGATATAACAGAAACTTGACGTTTCGATGGCTTCATGTTATCGTTATCAAAAAACCACAAAACTAACATGATTCGTGGAAATATATACAGAAAAAGAAGGCGAGAAAATAGCATGTGTGAAAATGGACAAATGGCAATTAAAGAGTTTCACATTCCCTTTTTCTACACATATTTCAACGAATCATTTTAATTTCTTATCGAAACGCCAAGTTACTTTTATATCGTTGATTTTTGTTTCAAAATGTATCTGTAAATCGATTCTTATAATATATTTTGCTATGTTTTTAACAGATAAAGTTTACATGAAAACCTTGCCAAACTGTTGTTGAATACGGTTTGCTAAAAAAGAGAAAAAAACCGGAAAGAAGAAACGCAGTTTTGCACAAACAATATTGTATTTAGACTAGGGAAATTCTTTATAAAACAAATCTCAGCTCAAAAGTCTGCTCTCAAGCAAAGTGTTTTTTTCAATCGTATTTCACGGTCATCATTCATCGAATAAGCTGTCAACACCAAGATACATACATTTAAACGCAAGTTACACATAAGCAGACCTTTGAGCATAGGTGTCATTATTAGCAAAACAGTTGTCATCTTTGTCTTTGATCTAACGAGGTAAGTCTCTTTCATCCGATAACCAAATTTCGGAACACGATCATTCAAATTATAGGAATAGACTTAAGTATACTGAGGTTGTTTCAACTTTTCGAACGAAATTTGGGGCCGGGCTTTTTCAATCATGATTACACGTTAATGCAGTTTGCAGCAGGAGAATATATCTGAAGGTGTTGTCGGTAATGTCACCGCAACTTACTATACCCAAAATGATAGAAAACTTTTGTTCAAAAGAAAGCATTGGTTTGTTTTACATCCGACGGTCTGTCAAAGCAATGCTGGTTTCAATAACGCTAGGTATGCTACACTTCACTGTAAAATTTTCGTTTTGCTTTTGAACAACAACAACAACAACTATATTAATAACGATGATGATAATAATAATAATAATAATAATTGTAATAATGAAGAGTTCTTCGACGTGATGGATACTCGTACAGAAATTGGTATTTATGCTACGGAGGGTATTTTGCTTTCTTAGATAATAGTCGACGAGTATGACGTTACAGATAAAAGCTAAGATGAATGATAGTTTATAAGCATAACACCCTATGAGATAAAATAGCTATTCAACACTGGGAAACGTCTAGAGTAAAGTCTCCAAATTAATGCGGTGGTCGTTAGCTCTAAACATGACATTTGGCATGGCAACGTCGACACCATCAGCGGGGAAACTTTTTATGAAACGAGAGAAACCATTATACACCGAGGCTAACTACGGTGTAACATTGTACACAAAAAAGAAAAAATAAGAGTTCGAAAGTTTGATAGGCTAAAAAGAAATCACAGTTTGGTTCGATAACCATTTTGTTGAAAGGTGCGAAAAACGTATATTCACTTATCTACTTTCCGGTACGTTATTATTGAAACAATATTTTCAATCTTCTGAATATTAAAACCCAAACAATACATAATTTTTAGACGAGTTCTAGAGAACATTTCATCTAAGAAGTAATTTTTGATTTAAAAGTTGTGTGTTCTAACATCAACAGAAACTGATTACAAGTACTGTGTTTCAATTAACGCGTTTTGTCAGATTCACAAAGAAAGGGGAAATGGATGCATATTTCGACGCAAAAGTCGTTTAAAGACCATTAAGAAGCTCTTTCTTTCGCAAACGTAAAATACGTTCAAAAGGCACTGAGAATATTATCAAAGACGAAAAAAAAGACATTTCTAATAAAAATCCATTTGGAGATTTCAGTATGTAGATCAGCAAAACCCAAAATAAACATAACAGAAATCTCCTCTAGACATTCAAAGTGAACGCAAGGAGCGCAGGACTGTACACAAAAAATTCCTCACACCAATATTTGTAGCTGAAAAAATTACATGCCAAAAAATTACCACAGGCATCTTGGTCGTAAAATTTTAATGTCTGTGGTCAGGCCATGCCATTCGAATGCGTCACACAACTAGCGTGCTTGATACATAATTTGAAAATGAATGCTCGTTCATCAAAATGATGCGAGGAGGCGATGATGTGGAAAGGGAATTCATATTCAAAATCCTGGAACTGAAATCGTGTCCAACGGTTGTTTCAAATGAATGACCAAGGATTATTGAAAGTCCCTGAAGCGTTCTTTCGAAGAGAAATTTGTCATTCTTTCGAATTTGATGATTTAATTTGTTTTCATGTGGACCGACCGATTCACAGCGAGCGCAAATTGTCCTTGCCCTGAACTTCAAATTCTCAGCGGGCTTTTAAAACCTTTACAAGTAATGCTTTTGCTGATAACAAAACTTGTCTTCGTTTTTGTGCGTCATTATTCGTGAACCACATAAAAGGTTGCCATTATCAAAGAAGGACGCTATTATCAATCGAGGACTAACTTAAACTGGGTAATGAAAATAAAACATGATAACCTAAAATAAGGTCGTAATAAAAGTTCGTTCTTGCGCGAGATCTATTGCAACCGAGGTAACAAGTGCTGGCAATTTTTTTCTTCAATCCAGAATCTTCTTTAAATGTATTTCTCCTATGATGCACAAAATAATGGCTCACTTATTTTACTCTAACACGTGAACTCCTTTGAAGGGTATTCGTGTTGAAGTATATCAGATTGCAGCCGGGTCTTATTATTCAATTGTGAGAAAACATTTTTCAAAACAGGAGGACCTGATTTTAATCGCGAAGCAAGCAAGTTTAAGCTAGACCCGCGTTTAAAACAGGCTCGATTAACAACAAACATGTTCACGTCTTTTGCACCAAATAAAAAAAATACCAACGAGAACGAGGAAATTTTCTACACATCGAAAGATCTATCTGAAGTTTTAAAACTTAACATGTTAGATTTGCAGTCAGCTTTCCCTAACAAATAGACGTCCACTCGCAGTGCGTAATTACGAACTAAATTCTCCCCTTACTTCTTTCATGACATGCATTATAATCGAGTTTGCAATCGTACAAATAATGGTTCAAGTACAAACCAACAGTAACTGGAGCGATAAATAACTGGGAAATAAAAGAAAAAATACCTTTTGCTTTTTCATGTCCACATAAGTCACATAACCTGGAGGAACATGGAAACCTACTCGCTTCAGAGGCAACTCCTCGTGTTGGTGGAGAATAACTTTAAGTCCACTGCTACCGTATGTCTTGCCTTTTTCAAGAGGCTCTGTATTCACTACCATATGCACACCGTATAGAGGGCCAACATTATCTGTCTCCATAAGTCTGCCACCATTTCTTCCGGAATTTAGCGTGTAACAAGAATGCCCATCCGACGATATGAACAGAGAAAAGTTTCTTTTGTCGCAAGGCAAAGCCTTTTTATTGGTCACTCCCCGCTTCAAAGAGCAAGAAATAAGAATCTCGTCTAAGACCGACAAAGAATCTTTAAGTACATCAGTCATGGTAGCTGTCGAATTCGGTGTCGTAAAGTTCGCCTCCGATCTGCTGGTCCAGTTGACCTTCGAACTGTTTAGTATAGTTTTTCTGATATCTCGCAAATCGCATATCGAAATAGCAGGAATCTCTAATTTATTTGGATAGTCCACAGTTGACAGAGTGCTAAACGGATACTGAAGATACTGAGTTATGCTTTGCCTGACCTCGTTCAAAAACACTCCACCACAGATTAAGAGTATACCTACCCACATCATTTTGCGCCAAATTGACTTTGTGTCGAACACATAATGGAGGCCGTGAAGAGTGTTGTGCCTCAGGTAGTATTCCCAAACTCTATGTAGTCTTTGCCAACGCACAGTCTTTGTATTAATTTCAGTAGAATCATCTACGGCTAAACAGGGAGTGCTTTCATGTTCTAGGCTGTCACCATGCTGGTGAGAGAATCCGTTGGGCAGCGGCTGCAATTCTTCCAAGACCTTTTCATTTTCGATGGATGCTGCATCGGCAGTGATTTTTCTTCGACGCGACGGCGACTGGCATGCACAGAAACTCGTCATTTGCTCGTTGGGTGCATTGCACTTTTAAAACGCATTATTCATCCGGTCAACACTGGCACCATGTTTTCCCAGTGAGCTGCTTTAATTGCTGGCAGAATCGACAAACGCAAGACCGGGAAGTCTAGTCAATTTTGCATGATATAACAACATCAAACAAAACGAAAAATCAGCCCAAGATTACAAAACAACCGATAACATCTTGTGAGCGATTGAGTGCGCACAGCAATTTTGATTGAGCGAAATTACCGTTTATCCTCTCGACGTCATCCTTTAGCTCTTTTTTAAAACTTTCACGATTATAACCCAAACACCTGCCACTACGGGGCTACGGGAGAAATGGGCCTATTTATTATTCAGCGAGAAAACGCTATCTATTATAATTCCACTCTCGTCCACTCACACTCTCTTCATTATTTCGAAGCCGCTGTTGATGAAAGTATGCTAATTTTGCTAAGGAAGATTACTTACTTCGGCACGAATTATTTCGGAAGACGAATCTCCTTCTCGCGTGCTTTAGTGGTATTTGCCTAAAAATCTTTGAGGTTTACAAAATAACCTATCGAGAGAAATAATTCCGCGATGGAAAATCACCGACCTTAATATAAACAAAGCTCGAGTGAGACACTAATTATGCTTTGTATTGTCTAAATCGCTTCTGCTTAGAAAATCATTTCGCCTGTTACTTAAGAAAGGTACGGATTTTTATATAAGCAATTTTCAAGAGAAGACCTTAAAAAAGCTTTAAAAATGATTTTTTGTTTTAAAAAAAGAAACCGAATAAAAGCGATTTTCGTTGCCATTTTTGCTTTTTGTGCGTGGGCCGAGTATATGAACGCAGTTTTTGAATCGTAAGTTTCTGTCATTAGGGTGATAATTATAATCGCAAAAATTGATAACGCTAAGTGTTTAGTTAGTAGCAGAAAACACTGATTCTTGACTTAAAAGTTATTCCTCAATGAAATAACCGAAATTGTAATTTTTGGAGTCCGCTTTGAAACCTCAATCCGGAAAAATGTAACTTCAAACGAAAGATAAAAATTAGCGGTTCTCACAATTTATCATTTTTATGACAAGCCTCCTTTCGAAGATTTTCTTGGTTTTCAAAGGAAAACGAATAAGCCTGCCGTTAATTGTCCTCCGCGTTGTGTCTCTGAAACTGAGTCTGTGGGCAAGAGCTCTGGAGATGTTTTTGTAATATGGCTTAAAGTACAAAGTGGGTTACCGCGGGTATGCTCATTTGCTCCGAAATCCTAAAAATATATTCCCTAGAACACAACAAGCGAATTGAAGCAAGGAGCGCAATCATGGGGTGCTAGGGGTACCCCATGGTGAGAGCGTAATAAGACACCAGCCATACAACAACAGGTTTTCTATTCAAAATTTTTTCATCATATCTGTTAAGTGGAGTTTGTTGGGAAAACAGATCAAGATAATCTATTGCAAAACATAAAGCGCGCCCGAGTAACACCCACAAATCTTTAAGAGATTGAGATTAAGATTCATTGACAGATTTGGTATTACTGACGTTAGCATGGCTCCAGACAATTGAAAAAGCAGTATTCAAAACCGTAACATGAATCGATTACTGTTTGGCTAACAACCGCCCATTATATTCCATTTTCTGGGTATAAAAACTCAAAATAAATCTAACTAAATACATTACATTTTGGAACCTTTTTTTCCTGCTTTAAAAATCTAGTGATGGGTAATTTAGCGTTATATACTATTCGAAGATGTGATATGTTATGTTAAAACAAGCCTTTGAGATCTGCTGAACATAATTTCAAGGTCTCAGCAAGCAACAAGGTAAATAACCACCTTTCTTGAATAGCACTGTGAAGAAAACAGAAGAACCACTTTAAGTTAACGATCGTAAAATATTCTTCCGAATCCTATAAGTTCCTTCACGCTATGATCTTAAAATTAATCTACCTAAACAAGTCACCTGTCTTTCTGAGCAATTTACCGCGGTTACCTAGTGAGGTTGTAGCTGTCTATTAGACCAACTCATAAAAAAGAGCTTTTTAGACGAACTTTTTAACCTCAATAAAGACACATTTCCGTGTACTTAGCCCTCAGTACACCAATAGAATCAAGCTGACCTTATAGCCAAAGTGAACACAACTGAAACACAGATGTGGCAGATTGGCTGTAAAAGTACAAAACCGTATAAGAAGAAAACGTAAGATAAGCTAAAAGACAATAAGCACGATGAGGCCTCTTCTGATAATAAGGCGCAGATTCTCAATCTGCTGCATAAATCCATATTCAGTAGATGTGACTTCCATCTGGACAATCCGCGATGGCTAGTCAATGAATCAATGGTAATCAGTGATCTGGTAATCATGATTAATAACTTTTACGAAGAAGATTAGGATTCGATTAGTAGAGGATATGTCTGTTGTTTTATAACGGAAAAGAAGACACCATTCTTTACAACAGTCTTGTAGGTTCTCTCTAAAGTTTTAAATGTCACTGTATCTGCCGATATCTAATAACAATAGCTAATAAATATGTTTATAAAGAAAGATAAATCACCAAGATTTTTAATGATCTTTCCAAGAAGTAGAGAGTGAATACTTCGAATCTAATGTATGCAGCACTTTGGCTAGAACAGGTTAAGGGGTTATTGGGTATATTTTGAGTGGACTCCTAATGTTAATGCAAACAAATGTCATGTGACCCATACTCGAATGTCAAGTCAAGACAAGACGATCTATTTCACTCGGCTCCTTTTTCCTTGGTGCCAGCCCAGGCAATATTTTCATATGGAACTGTTGTGGGCGGATATGTGCGGAGTATAAGTGTCCCTTCAATATCAAGGACATGTCTATTTTGGAGGAAAGGTCGAAAACTGACTTTCTTGAATCACAAGAGGGCAAGATTAGACTCAGAAGAAGACACAAATACTACACCCAGGTGATTTACAGCATTGGAAAGCAGTCTTTGCTAACCTTGTTATCTTCTTCAACACACACATTCAGAGAGTTTTGTTAGGCTTAAGGGATCTCTGTTATTGGCTAGCCTGTGATCAACTTTGTCTTGAGCCAGAAGAATTTGAGGAAGACAGTGAGAACAGCATACAGTGTGAATTGTGCTCCCGATGGTACCATTGGGGTTGTGTTGGCCTACCCTGAGCAATGCGCTTGCAAGTCCTGTAACAACACTGCAAAGTGATATGGAAGGTCCTGGCTTCAAAAGGAGCAGTCAGGTATCCCAGACCTCCTATATTTACTATAATTTATATCGGATCAAATATAGAACCGGTATTTCTAGAAATCCTACTATATTTCCTATGAATAGGACGGATTCTGACATCTGCATTTTGCAGTGTGAAGCAGTTTTGCTGTGAATTAACAAAAACAAAATTCTTTATCACTAAAAATAGGTTATATATATGTTTTGCTTTTTTTAAAGTTTTTAAAATTTTTTACTCTTTTTTAAAATTTTTCCTGTAAAGAGCCTATATTTTGGCAGAAAATTCCTATACTTTCCTATGATTTTGAACTTGAACAGTCTATTTTTCCTATCAGATTTTTCAAAAAGTTGCTGGGATGCCTGAGCAGTAAACACATGTACATGCACTATACTGAGATCTTTTGAGATACTGAACAAGTAAACTGAGAATTTTAAACAATCCATTATTTCGACAAAATAATGTTTATTTGCAACATTTTGATAAGCCAATATATATTATTCTGTTTATAGACTAAATCTGTTTTAGAACTGAGGAAAACTCTTCAACTATTATTTCAAAGTCTATATTGCAAACAAACCTCTCATCTGTAAATTTCAGGAGACATTCACAAAGACAGGGGCTCTTGTAAATTGGTCAGAGCTGCACAAACAGTAAAGTTCGGTACACACTAGGCAACAAGTTGCAGCAACATGTCGCGGGGGCAAATCGCTTCGTGTGTACTGGAGAATTTTTGTGAAAATCTTTGTCGCTGCAACAAGTCGCACAGATTCAGTCCGATTTGATTTTTTGCGACTTGTTGAGGCGACAAAATTCTGTTGCGGGGACAAAGATTTTCACCAAAATTATCCAATACACACGAAGCGATTTGTCGCTGCGACGTGTTGCTTCACCTTGTTGCTGCAACTAGTCGCCCGACCTGTGCACACGGAGTGATCTGTCGCCGCGACGTGTTGCAGCAACTTGTCGCCTAGTGTGTACCGACCTTTTAACAATGTCATCTGTAATTGGAAGTAGGCTATATCGTAGTTCTCTTTTCAAAATATAAGTCCTTGATCCTTTTAACTGCTTGCTTACATAAATCCTCACATTCGCAATCTTGGAAATGCCTAACATCTTTAGCAGTCATTTGCAAATTAGAATGCTTGGACGGGGGAGTGAAAAAAGTACACTGCGCATGTCTTGAATTTTGAAACCCCTGTCGCTATTACTTGATCATGGGGCTGGAAGCAATTTAGAAAGTCACAATCCTGTACTAAAAATATCACTTGCCCTGCCACCATAAATATCCGACATATAAGAGGCTGCTTCATTAGGAGTAATACCAATCAAGAACTTGAAGGTGTGATATAACTTGTAATTGGACCAGCACATAGCTGCCACTTCTAAATCAGAGGGGGTTTCAACAAAAATTTCGGTGCAGTCTATAATAACTCTGCACTTAGGAAAATACCTGCGGGACATTTCTGGTAAGTTTCTTTTCACAACATGCCTGTCTGGCCATAGTATGAGCCAGGAAAGTTCTTTTGCCTTCAACTACAGCCATGTTGTGAATGAGTTGTTCACTGTCCCATCACAAACTTTGAAACGAAATGCAAGGTCCTCCACATGAAACCCCTGTCTCAGTCTCATGAGGCAAAGAAGAAATTCTTGTTCAAGACTTAGAACCCTTATTTTTTTTTTTCAACTTTGGGTTTTCAAGTATCTCTTGTTGCCTTTTTCCCACCTTTTCAAAAATGCATTACACTTGCTTTTTCGTGCAAATGTTCAAAAAGCAACTTGAAAGCAGCAGTAGATTGCATTT